AGACAGCAAAAATATTATTTAGGCGACCAGGTCACTCGTCACCTCGTCATTTTAACTTCTCTGAAAAAGTGTGACAACACGACATTTTGACAACATCGTAGAAAACACGCAAAACTCTTGAATTTGTGATAAAAAAAGCAACCGCGGAATTCCGGCGGTTTGGTATATTCTTCACAAAATGCTTGTTTTGAGGTCGAGCCACAAACGAATGTCGACGGTTAAGCCACAAACGAATGTCCGACGGTTAAGCCACAAACGAATGTCGACGGTTAAGCCACAAACGAATGTCCGACGTTAAGCCACTCAAAATATTTTTATTTTTATGTACGTACTGAAAAATGACAGTCGAAGCAAAAACGTTCACGAACAAATCTAATGCGAAACATTCACAAAAGGTTACAACGGTATTAAATCTTACGTAGAGACAAGGATGGTTATATAAATGCAACAAATATGTGTCAGCAGTTTAGGAAGACTTTAGAAAGTTGTTGGAAAATAACTATCCTGGACTCTCTTTTTGCTGTCTTAAGGAAATTTCATGAAAATTCAAGAGGGTAGAAAAGAGGGTAGAAAACGGGGTAAGATATACCCTTCTACCCTAAAATATATTTTTCAATACTTTTTCAGCACTTCTCCGTAGTTATATATGAAAGACAATTCGAGATAAAAGTCGTAGTACAATGGAACAATATGTTGCACACCATTTGTTGTGAACCAAACTTGAAAGTCAGAGAAACTGTTACTAGGTGGTTCATAGAATTTAGAAGCAAAGTCATAAAAGTCCTTACCAATACAAAGAAAACTATTGTTGCTTGAACTGAAACTTGCATGACACATAACATTTTGAGGGTCAAACACGTTTCTATAAACTGTCAAATCTGTTGGTGGGCGTAAAACCAGAACGGACCGTCAGGTGGTAATGGTTCGTTCTGGTTTAGTAACCGAAGAAATTGTGCCCAAGAACGTTTGTCTACTTGCCAAAATAAAAACTGTGTATCTCTTGGAGGGTTATTTTCAATCCTTTGAAATGAAACTGTGGAGTTCATCTTGTCATATTCTAGTTTCAGATAGTATGTTCCATTTAGTAAAGAATCGTATTTTTCTTGAAATTCCCAGTAGTATTTGTTTATTTGAGTTTGAAAGTCATTTAGAGTCTTCTCAAGACTTTCGTCTGAACGAACCGTAAAGATTCTCATTTCGTCAAATTTGTCTAGTAGACCGTCAGAAGCTCTATACTGCCCATGAAAATATACTGCAAACATAAACGCGTTAGTTCTTTTTGAAAACAAAACTCTTCTAAATCCTATTGCCTTTGCATCTGAAGGACTTTGAAGCCAACGAATTGGAAAGTCAAAGCGGTAGGAGCCGGATGAAATTTCTTCATCTGATATAGTCCTACCGGCGTTTGTGAAGATATAGTCTAACGGTTTTGTATCTGCTACTTTTGTTCTTTGTTTTTCAACCTGAAACATTTAATATATGTAAAAATATACTGTTTTAAAACGTTTTTACTTCATATTTCTCATCTAACAAACATGTTGTCTGACTGCTTGAGGGTTAGGTTGGTACCATTCGAACTTCACGCTTACAATTCCTTCAATTGCATTCAAAATGTCTGAGTCGGAGTCAAACATTTGTTCTCTCTTTGTAGTCTTGAAAGCGTCAAGAAGCATTGCAGCTGTTGTGACATTGCCATGTGCATAGTATATATGACCGTCCAAATCTGTTACGGTTAGTCTGAGATTGTATCCTTTCTTATTTCCGTCTTGTATGGCAGCAAGTACACCATGAAGCCTTCTTGTTCTTTCCTTCGTCAAAGTTTACTGTAAAGGTTCGACCAGATGTAATTTGACTTCTAACTTCACGGTACTTTTCATATGCATATCTTGTTCTTTCCATGGGAGCATGTTTGTCTTCACCTTTTCCTTTTTTCCTTCTCAAGAGATGCAATTGTTCGTCATGTTTCCAATAGAATCTGGCAAAGCCGTCGTGTCCTTCAACTTGAGGCTCACTAACATCGAAAGGCATGTCCATAAGACGTTCTTCTTCTAACCTCTCTAATCTGTTTGGATAATTTGCGCGTGCTGTTTCTAAGTCCATTTCATAGCGAAGACCAGACAATTTGTCATAGACTTTTATGGGTCTTCCCTTCCTATATTTAAACTTCTTTGAAACTCTCCAACCATATCTTTCTAACTCTGCTTTTATTCTAGCAGATTTTCTATCCATTCTATGCGAGGGCATTTTTATAAAAATAAAAAAATGTTTTTTTTCTTTACTTTACATAACCGCCTGCTGCCAAAAGTCTTTGACGCCAACCCATACCAGCTAATGAAGGTTGACTTGGTTTAGTTTGGAAACTAAACTTTGGTTTTGGTTTATCTTCAGTTTTTGGTTTCTCTTCTTCTATCGGTTTTTCGTCACTTTTCGGTTCCTCTGACTTTACTTCACTTGCAGGTATGGTTGTGTCGTCAACATCTTCTAAATATCATATGCCATTTGTTTTTGTTTTCCTTTCAACTTTTTGTGTTTGTTGTAAAGTTTAGAATATTTCGACTCTAAGTCAATGAGATGTTCTATAATGAACTGTTGGTCAGTGAAGTAAACTTTTCCATCTGTTGTCTCAAAGCTCCTTCAGACTTCAATATTTTATTTGTGAGAGTCTGTTTCTTTTTTGAGATACTAGCCGTTCCATTTCTATGAAAGTGACTTTATAGTTAGGGTTTGTATTTCCAGACCTGGCACTTTCTATTATTGAATTTTTCTCTTCATCTGTAAGTTCTTTGACAGGTTTTGACAATGGTTCTGAACTTTTTGTTTGTGGTGTCAAATCTACCGTTTCAACTTCTTCGGTCATTTCATCTCAGTAAAAAATTTTAGTTTGGTTTGTTTTCAACTGGTTGTTTAGGTTTTTTAAGTCGGTCTAAAACTTCCTGAGGTATAGGGAGGACTTGACAAACACGTGGTTGTGTAACTGCTGGAAGCCGACAAATCCATCTTGAGCCCATTTGTCTCAATGCTGTATTGTTCATTTCATCTCAGTAAAAAAATTTACATTCCCCACGTTTGAGGCGGTTGAGGTTGGTTATTGTTACCATTGTTGTGCATGGTTATATCCTCTGTTAAAGAATCTTTCACCTTGGTCCATATAGTGCCTGCTTGGTTATAGTAGTCATTTGCTTTGTTATAGTAGTTTCCTGTTGTCTTCCTACATTGTCCATCCATCCTTGAACTTTTCCTCTTGTTTCAGGATTTGGAATAAGATTTGCTGCATCTCGTGCTACCTCCCAACCTTTCTGTACAGTTTGTATAATAGGTTGTGCTTTCTCTTTCAGTATACCTAATGTACTCAAAATCTTCCTTCCAATTCCAAATGCACCTCTGGCTAGTGTTCCACTGCGGGCAAAAATCTAGATGCGATCCTGTAATGCGCCAAATAAACCCATTTCTTTACAGGTTAAAAATGACGATCAAACAAGGACCCTATGTTTCTAAGGCAACAAAGAAAGCACTCATGATAAAAATCTTTAGTTCAACACCAAATGCTTGGTTTATGGATATCTTGGAAAACATTCCGAGAGTTAGAACAGATGGACCTCCATACTGGTTAATATTTGTCGGTCAAAACACAAGATACTGTGAAGCCATACCATTACAGTCCAAAAATATTTTAGATATCTTAGCACTTTGACAATATTCGTTGACAAATACCATCCAACAAAACTGACATCTGACTGTGAAAGTTCTTTCAAATCATGAGATTGTAAAAACTATCTGCGTTCAAAAAATGTAAACCAATATTTTCATTGTCGACCAAAACCATTCTGCTCTTGGTGTCATTGACAGTTGTATAAAAATATTAAGAGACTTAAACCAACCACAAGGTGGTGAGGTAGATGAAATGTCATATGACGACAAATACAGACATTTCTCCATGGCAAAGATGAGACAAGTTTTAAATATTTACAATAGCCGTAAACAAAAAGGTTTGGGAAACCACTCCCCTGAAGAAATGAAAAACAACCCCGACTTAGAGAAAGACTATATATTTAATAGTTTAGTCAAAAGAGACAAACAAGAAAGAATGCCAGGCTTCAAACTTAAGAAAGGTGACAAAGTAAAAATAGAAATACCTAAACGCGACCCATATGAAAAATACTATTGACTATGAACAATGGGAACTCGACAGGTACTCGCATTCGTGTTCGTAAAAATAGAAGAAAGTAGTATACAAGAGAATATTATGAAGTTTTAGGCAAACATGGCAAAATGTACAGACTGCAAGCAGAAGATAAAACTACTATTGTCAGACCTCGTTTCAAACTTGTCAAAGTTCAAGGTGGTTACTTTCAAAGACAGTTCCTAACAAATATAAGACAACTCCTGACGAATATGCTAAAGAAGTTGAAAATGACGACTAAGCATTTCTATACCATGCGTAAACTGTCATGTAAGGTGGCATGTAGTCTTTACTCTGTCCCGTTGTTTCCGAATATCCTGTAATGCGATGTGTATGGCTTCCTCCTCCCTGAGTGTCATCCCAGTAACAATTTATAGCAAACTTAACGTCGTCTTTAACATCATATCCTTTACCTTTTGTCATTCCTGTCCAATCCCAATATCTATGCTTATGCCAACCTGCTTCAGCTGTAGTTAAATTTATGTAGTGACTGTGTGCAGGTAAGTTTTCACCTGAAATCGTTTTACTTCCACCTGTTACCTTTGAAGAGTTTGCACAATACAAAACCTTTCGACTATTTGAGTCCAAGTTCCAAAACCAAGTACTACTTCTGGTCTGGTAGAGTTCATTGACGTATAAATAGAAACCTATAGGATATACTGTTTGAAGTATTTCAATCTTTAATGTTTGAAGCTCTGTTTTGTCTGCTTTTTATATATAACTTTTCTTCAAGTTCATTTACGTCAGAGATGCTATGTCTATGATATTTTTGTGGGTATGTTCCTTCTGTCCATGCGAAAATACGTTCTTTTGTTGCATCTACATATCCTTTTATCCATGTCGAGTCTGCTTTTGTATTCCTTAACTCTGTAACACCTTTCTCAAGCTCTTTCAACTGTTGTCCATCTTCCATTAAACCTCTGGTATGACTTGAAACCGTTTGTGTCAACATATCTACAGTTTCTTTGTCGGCTTTAAGGTCTAAACATCCTGAAACCCCCCCTGTATTGGCTTTACCTTCTAAAATCTTTGTTGTCCGTTCATGGTACCATTCAACCATTTCTTTAATTTTTTCATCCTTTTCATCCACATATTCCTTATCTGCCTTCTTCACTAACGCACTAGCCACACGTGCTAACTCATCGTCAACATACTTTGTCAGCTTTGTTGTCAACATCCTCTTTTGTTGCATATGTTGCATCTGCTCTGTCATTGTTCTTCTTTGAACTTTTTCAATGACATACTCTTTGTCAGCTTTGTTGTCAATATCTGCTTTCAAAAGAAGTTCATCTATAGGTTTCTCGTTTAAAGTTCTTTTGTTGGATTTATACAAAACAGTATGGTTCTTACTGTCTTGAAACAGAAACTCATCTGTCATTGGGTTTATCGTCAGTTTTAAGTTTCCTTCTTTCAATGACTCAGATATCTTAGAATAGTTTGAAAAGTTTGTTGTGTTCTTATTTAGAGCTTGTATAATGAGTTGTCGGTTGTGTTGTATTCTCTCATAGACGCTGTTTTCATTTGACATTTTTATTCTAGATAAAATATGCTTCCAATAGAAAAAGAAAATTCAAGAGTTGCTACAACTAAACCATTAGATGAACTTTTTACTAATGTCGGTCAAAAGTTTGAGACAGAGACCGTAAAGCATGAAGGCTATCGTTTTGACTACCCATTAAGATGGTTAAGAGACCCATCTGTCACAAAAGCTATTGGCTTTCGTAGAATGAAGTTTGTGTCTGTAGAAGATAAAAGTTTTCCATTTATTGTAAGGTTTCATATAGATTATATATCTGAAGGGAAACGAAAAATGTGGGAAGAAATTGAGCTAATACAAGTTGACCTTTCATCTTCTCTACAGACTGCGTTAAAAAATATAGAAGATAAAATAAATTCATGTTATGCAAAATATGCTGATGAATATGCAAATACCGAGAGCACACTTTATGTGAGAATTGTATATGACAAACAAAATTCACAAGTGTCATTTCAAATCTACGAAGACAATCCAAAGAAAGACGAACAAATATATACAGAATTCACTGCAATGTCATGGTATTATTTGCAAAGAATGTTAAATCAGAAAGTCGAACTTCCTTTAGCAAATATTTACAGTCGATATGCAAGAGATGAACCATATTTATTTAAAGATGTTTTCGACCCAGCTGCTATTATTGTTCATGCTTCATTTTCTGGCGCCCAAAACTCTTTCTTATGCTTGGCAAATGACTTTTACGAAAAACCTACAAAGTTATACGAACCACCAAGTGGAAGTATTTCAGACTTTCAAGTATGGTTTACTACAGATGGAAGAAAAAGAATAATTCCATTATACCATGCGTTTTACTTAGAACTTAGTTTCATATACAACTACTATCGAACGGTAAAAATATAATTTTTTAATACGGTTGAGGTGTTGGATTTGGTTGCCAACTAGACTGTGGTGCAGGTTCAGGTTGTTGTATAACAGGAGCTTGTTCTTCTGGTTCAGGGTCTTTAGGTATAATACCAACGAACTGACCTACTCTTTTACCAATATTTTTGACACCGTTCCAAATTCCTTTTCCGACAGATTTTATTCCATTCCATATACCTCTTCCAACATTTCGAAAGAAGTTTCCTATCTTACTGAAGAAACCCATTTTACTATATGTAAAAATCTAATGTCCGCCTAGTCTCTTACGTTTCCTGTTGAGTTCCATAGCATTCTTTAACTGGAGCTCATACATTCTGTTTCTCCTCTGGTAGAAAACATATTCTGGGTCAACTCCTGTGTTCGCGTCATCTGCATAAAGTTGTTTATATCCCACTTCAGGGTTTGTATAAACTCTTTCCATCTCATATTTGCATACCATGGTGGCAAACCTAACGCAGCGTCATTTGACATGGCAGTTTGCATTTGTACATCTGTTGGCACTTGACCATAGTTTGCCATTGCAGTTTGTATTCTAACTTCATTTGGAATATTCTCTGGGTTTGGTTGTCCAGGTTGCTGTGCATTCGCTAAGTTCTGTGCGTCCATTTAATATTAGATAAAATATCTCTTACGAGTACATATGCTGAACATTTGCTGGTATTGGTTCATCTTCATATTCTCTATATCTTTCTGCCACGTCAAATAAGTAAATGACACAATGGAAAAAACCTAAAACAAGTAGTCCTATTTCAAACCACATTTACTTACTAGTAAAATTTCTTTGTTATGACACTTTCTCCAGTTTATGGGACCTCTCTCATATTCTATCTTGTCATATCTAAACTCATAGTCATGTATATCCTCTAACCATCTCATGACACTTTCCAAACCACTTTTATCGGATGTAAAGTAAAAGCATGGATGGTTATGTAAAACGTCTAAAGTTTCTAAAGAGTCTCTCAAAGTCCAGTCTACTTGGTATTGAAAATCGTATGTGTTATAGAACGGCGGGTCCACTATAAAGAAAACATTTTCCTTGTCTTTATATTTTTCATACAACTCTGTCCAATGACATCTCACAAACTCTATACCCTCAATATATTTTTCTATGTCCTCTTTGAAAACATTTGTATAGTTAAGATATAAAACTTTTGACATAAGTGTTTCAATGTCATGAACTCTTATAGCACCACTATATAATAGTCTAGCAGATATACTATCCCAGTCTATATATTCTGCTTTTTTCAAAACCTCTCTGACAGTATTTTTCTTATCTAATGGTATACGTTCCATCTTACCTATAGGTATCTTTTCTTTTAACTCTTTCAATATTTTGTTAGTGTCTGGAATATGTTTGAGACGGTCCATATAGTTGTCGAAGTCATTGCATATAATCTTTGAGTCAGGAAATACAGTATGGCACAAATGGGATATATAGAAACTTCCACCGAACAAATCTACAAATGTTAGACCATTCGGTAGTTTCTTAAGTTCTCTCAATATAATATCTTTACATCTACTCTTATTTCCAAAGAAGGGTAACGGTGGTTTTGTAAAATTCATTTTATATACAATAAAAATGTTTTTTCCTGAAAAGTGACAGAAAAGTGACAAAACATTTACGAAGAAATCTTGACAAATTCAAGAGGGTAGAAAAGAGGTTAGAAAAGAGGTTATATCTAACCTTCTACCCTAAAATATATTTTTGTCTGATTTTACGAAGAAGTCTTGACAAAACATTTACGAAGAAGTCTTGACAAAACATTTACGAAGAAGTCTTGACAAAACATCTTCAGGGCTAGAAGGCACGAAGTGCCTGGAAGCCCCACTACCTTTTTTTTTTTTTTTTTTTTTTTTTTTTAAAAGAAAGAGAATTTCATAAAACAAAGATAAATATGAAAATAAAGAGAATTTTATAAAACAATGATAAATATGAAATTAAAGAGAAAGTAATAAAACAATGATAAATATGAAAATAAAGAGAATTATATAAAACAATGATAAATATGAAAATAAAGAGAATTATATAAAACAATGATAAATATGAAAATAAAGAGAATGTCATAAAAAAATGATAAATATGAAAATAAAGAGAATATAAATTTTGTTGATATCTTCTCCATTAGAAAGTAAATAAGATGCAACATCATAATTTCCAAAATGCATACTTTCAGCTATTGAATCAAAAGTTTGTCCAAAATTTGATTTAAGATACTCAGCAATTTCATAATTATGATAATCCAATGCTGTATTAATCATGTTATCAAATGATATACCATCTTCAATCATTTGCATAAAAATGATTTTATTTCCGCCTTGAACAGCATACATTTCGGAGTATCCTGTGTATCTAGCTCCTAAATTTTTTAAGTAATTGAAACACAATTCTGATCCATATTTAATTGAACAATCAAGTGGTGTGAATTCATAATCTATTTTCTCATTAATATCAAGTTTTGGGAATTTATCCTTAAGATCATCAACTTTATCACATGCAATGTAGAACAAAGGAGATTTTGTTGAATATATATTGAGAATATCTTCTTCTTTCATTTTAGGTTCGAAGTTTTCAAATTTGAAACCTTTATAATATAGAAGCGTAGCCAATTCCTCATTTTTCGGTTTGATTAAACATGAGAATTCGTTTAATATGTTTAAATAAAGTTCTGCAAATAATTTGATATCTTTGACACGAATTTGCGACATAACGTCAATCAAGTAAAGTGACATTTGGATTGGTATTTTGTTATTTGTAATGAATTCTATAATTTGTGAAGATATTTGTAAAATATTATTGGAATTGACACTCCAAATAATTTTTGATGCTTGATCAGGGTATTCAAATACTTCGTTTGGCTTAATATCGTTAAAATCGCATCCAGATTCGTTTTTTGATTACTCAGTTCTCAACATGATTTATAAAATTATGGATGTGGCACTGAGTAGGTGACAAAAGTGCATACTCTTAAATTAACCTTAAATGTTTATTTTTCGATATTTTCGGTATTAACCTTATTGTAAATTTTTCCGGTGATAAATTTATCACACTGAGGTTATTTTTCCGGTGAGATTTTTAACCTTGATTTAATGAAATTAATATATATAAATTTTATTATTTTTAATTTCGAATGAGTATAATAAAATATTTTTTTATATCGTCATAACTCTCATCACTGTTGTGATTCCAAATGCGATTATTAAGGTTCAAGTCGCTAATGTTTTGAATGAAGATAGAGCAGTAAGAATTCTTACAAGGGCAGGTAATCAGATTGTTGAGCAAAGAGCTTCAAAACACGATGAATGTTTGAAATTAATTCAACACATTTTGGAAATTGTCGAAAGCCGAAGGATTGAACCTAATGTCCTTATTCCATCTTTGAAGACAATATTAAATTTGGCACAAAGAAGTTTAAAGGAAGAGTAAGCAAGATTAGATAATTTGGACTTTTTTTAAAATTAATGAATAAACAGTATATTTTTGAAGTGTAAGCTTATTTACCTGAAGCTATATTACTTAATATAACATTCAAAGTATTATTGCTATTTATTGGAGAACAAATTTATGTAATTTTCACATGAAAATTGATAAATTTGTATTTCCTTATGATAATCAATTTTTGTATTTGTAGAGAGTCTCCCTGCATGATATCAAGACTTGGCTATAAGTCTTTATCCATTTTTGAAAATTGTATTGTAAATTGTAAGAATTTCCGAATACTACTACTATAAAATATAATTGCTTATCTATGTATATTCTCCCTGCATGATATCAAGACTTGGCTATAAGTCTTTATCCATTTTTGAAAATTGTATTGTAAATTGTAAGAATTTCTGAATACTACTACTATAAAATATAATTGCTTATCTATGTATATTCTCCCTGCATGATATCAAGACTTGGCTATAAGTCTCTATTCATTATGAGTATGACCCCATTTTTTTTTACAAAAAGTGCCGAATTGCAACTTTGTCCCAATCTCATGTGGCACTTTTCGAATTACTATACATTTCTGATTGCTAATATTTATTTAGTATGTCAATGCTAGATGCATAATAAAAACAGCCTGTATAAATGGTGTAAGTGAAATGTAATATGAGAACCGAATTTCTTTTATATCAATTTTAAATTAACAAATACTCTAAAACTTTTTATTTATTATCAAAATTCGAAAGATCATTAAATTTGTTTTCAAATTCTTCAAAGCTTTTCAATTTGCAAAAGTATAATTGGGATTATCTAACGCTTCCAATCAGAGGATGATTTTTTTTATGGAGTGAGTTATTCAGACAGTATGTAGAAATAAAAAAACTCTTGTCGCCTTAATTCATCCATGTGTTGGATTCTTTTACTTCTCTTAAGGGTGGACTTACTACTTTCTGACACACTCTCAAAAAACGGGAATATTGGTGTGAAGATGCACAGAAAATAATAATTCTCGGACAAACGATTATTTTTGATTCTACATTAAAAGCAAAAATAATCATATACCCGAGAATTACACTTTTCCGACTTTTTTTGGGTCGCTTCGCACCCCTGACAAAAGGTCGGAAAAGTGAAAAAATAGATTCTAAATACGCACTCAAATATTGAACTTCTATACAATAAAGATCAATCCAATATAAAAACAAACAATAACGCAATATATTTATATATTCAAACAAATATTATTCAATAATTTTGTCTTGAGAGTGATTTTCGATTGCATTCTCAATACATGTTAAAGCAAACATTGCATTAGAAGGAGTTACTGTAGACAAATCATCTGGAGAGCCATCCCATGAACATCCAAGCATATTAAATAATTCATCAATTTCTTTATAAATATCTGAGTACTTAGCCTCTTCCGCATCACACTGTTTCTTCAGTTCATCATATTCCTTCTGAGCATCGCTGATTTGCTGGTTTATTTCATTCAAATCTGAATTTGCAATTTCGATTTCTTTGTTTTCTCCTTCTTGGCTTAAGATTTTAGCTTGCTGTAACTCTAGAGCTTCGACTTCCTCTTGAAGCTTCTTTCTATTTTGAGAATGCTCTATGACAAAGTTGTAAAGTGAACAATTTTCACGTTCTAGCCTATCAGCTTCTGCAATGACCTCGTCAACTGATTTTAGGTTAAGTAATTTGAGGGTTTGTGAGATCCTATCTTGATATTCTTCGGTTTGTGCTGTTAAATTATCAGTTTTATGGTCAACTTTTTGGTTTTTCTGTTGTTTTGATTGGGATTCTAATTCACTATTGGCTTCTTCAGTAAGTTCATCTATCTTTTTAGAGTATTCTTCGGTAACTTCTTTATTATTCGAATTAAGTTTGTCAATTTCGGCTTGAATGTCCTCTTTTTGCTGTGCAAGTGTTCTATTATTCTCATGGCTAGTCTTTTGTGGTGAATTAGGTTGCTTTTTGTCTGTTTGATAAGGTGCCATATTTGCTTTTCGTAGAATATCTAATTGTTCACGTTTTTCCGCGAGAATCACCAAATTCTGGTTGTATTTAATCGTTGATTTCTCTAATCTGGATTCCATTGCCTTAATTTGATTAATTAATTGCTCGCTTTCTCTTGTTTGTGTATAGTTTGTTCCTATTTTAGTACGAGTTTTAGAGAGATTATCTTCTAGTGCCTTTCTTTTTTGATCTTCTGTTGTAAACTCGTTCGTTAAGATTTGTAATTTATTTGTTAAATTTCTTTCAAGCTGTTTGAGTCTTGATAATTCATCCATTTCGTTATTAAGTTTATTAAAGTCCATTATTTCACTGTTTTTAGGTCTGTAAGTCATAAATGGATCTTTTTCTCTTTTTCTAGACTTTGCTCTTTGTTCTTTTTTTAGCTGGGCCATTGCTTCGCTAGTTTGCCGTCCAAGAGCCGTTTTGACTTTGGCGCGGAGTCTATCATGAGGCGAAAGAATGGATGCACACATAAATCAATAACGAACTTTTTAAGTAAAAAGTGACAATGATCAAAAGAAATTGTTATGATTTCAACATATTAGAAATGAAACTAGTGGCCATTATGTACTGGAATATATTTCCATATGTATATATTATATACTATATTGTGATCCAACATTAATTTCATTTTATTAATAATAAAATCAATAATAATTGATAATTTATGCTTCATGAAGTTTCAGCATACAACAAAAACTCGTCTTTATGATTGGAACCAAACAGTTTTTGAAATATCATAATTTAAAATTTAATATTTTTATTATCAATGAATTAATTTCATCGTTTCTATAGTATTAAATAATAAAATAGTTGGGTATTCTGGTAGGAACTATTAAAATATGTATTTCCTCATGAAATTCTTTGATTGTTTTTCATTTTGATTGTTCATCCGCCCGAAAAGATATCCTTGATTCTTGTGATTGAGCGCATCAGTATTTAATGAATCATCAGTTTGTTTTGAACTTAATTTTTATTATTATTTAGTTATGGAATATCTATGTATAAGGGTAAAGCTGAGTGCTCGAATTTTTGTCATAGGTGGATTTGTTTCTAATTCAGAAGCGATTGTAAAGCCAAGATCAGCAATTTTCTTTGATTGATCAATTCTTTGTAATGTTTCGATAATTTGTACGTGATCTGTAGAGTTTTCAGATAGCTGTTGCATTAAAACTGGTATTTTATCTTGCAATTCAAGAAATGATTGCTTTATTTGTAAAACTTCTTCTTGTAATTTCTTTGTCATACCACTGTCAATATAAGATTGAATGCAATTTTGAAGTTGCTGGCATATTTCTTCTGTATCAGCTGCAAAATCCATAACCAAAGAATAAAAAGTGACAAAACAAGAATCAAAAATGTGTATCAAGCTCAAATAGTACTGTTTTTGAAATGTACTTGTCATGAGGTTGCTATATTCTTGGACCTCGCTGATGTATTCCCTATCAAAATTATCAACAACCATGAAAACAAGATCATTTGCTCCTTGGATCTTAATTAGGTTACTTTAATGCCTATGTATTGAGGAATCTTTTGTGCAAAGTAATGATTCATTATAATATTAAGCGAACAAATGTAATGTGATATACAATGTTGATCCAAAGTAATCTATGGTATAACTCCGAATAGTAATTTTATTGGGTTAAGTTTGAATTTGAAATTTCTTCTAAAAAAAAATTACGATTCTAAGTTCCAAGATAATTCATTTCAAAAACGACAAACAGATAGTTTTATAAGAAATAATAACAAAACAAGAACAAAAATTACGAAAATAATCCGACTGATTTTCTATTTGCGGGAACTTTAGCAGATTTCATAAGAGGAGCGCGTCTAGCTGCAACCATGATTTTGTTTGAGAACATTGGTGCTGTCTGCATCTTCTTACATGAAGCAGAAAACTGATTTGTAGTCGGATTTGGAATTTTGGCAAACATCGTAAGATTCGTAGGTATTGTAATAGGCTCCATAATTACTTCTTTTATGTCCTGATCAATTTTAATAAATGCCGCAACATTATCTAAATCTCCATAATTACTGGTTGAAAAGACTGTAATAACCTTTCCGTTGTGGTCCTTTTTAATTCCAGAGGCAACACTTTGATGACCTCTGATAATAGTATCGCAATTGACCTTTTTAAGAAACTGTTCTGTTGCTGCTGGCCCATAGTCATATCCAAGGCCTCTAGAGCTTGGGCTGTATTCTGTTATGGAATCTACCGGATCAGACCAGAGTAAACTGGCAACTAAAGCAGGGCATTCTAAGATAGGAAATGTTAAGCTTTCGATATCCTTAAGAGAATTTAATTCCGGTGAGACTCCACCATGAACGCAGAAAATATGACCTTTAATGATAGCAGCGATTGGTAAATAAGAAAAAACTTCATTGATTGTTTCCCATAAAACTTCATCGTTAAATTGGGTTTTAACGCTTTCTTTAAATCCGAATTTTTCGTTGATGTCTGCGTATTCATGATTTCCGCGTAAAATTGTGATATTATCTGGATATACATTTAAAAGGGATAATAATAGAGTGACAACCTCTATAGAGTAGCTTCCACGATCAACAAGGTCTCCTAAAAAGAGGTAATTTTTCTTCGGAGGTAAACCATTTTTAATTAAAATTCTGACTAAATCGTGCAAATTGCCATGTAAATCCCCAACGACTATGACATTTGTATTTATGTTACGGAGAGCACTGCTGTTTTGAAGAACTGTTATAGCATCTGTACAAATCTTTCCGATTACTTCCTTTGGAAAACGCGGAATCAACACAGAGCTACCAAGATCTGGTATATCTTCTGGTTGCATTGAAAAAACATTTTCGTAATTCTTAAGAACGTATTCGGAGAGTGTCATCTTGATAATTAAAATAATTTAGAATTGTGAGTAAAGTGTCAAAAACGAATTATTTGACATGTAAAGATATTGTTTCTTACATAATCAACATCATTGACTTAATTTAAGTTGTGAATTTTGGTGGTCATATCCTGTATATCCAGAATGATATGTTAATTTAAGGAAATTTTCATTGTTTGACTTATTATTTGGTATTTTTGGACAATTATTGAAACCAAAAGAGAACCTTTAAATCTATCAAGTTGAAGAACCAAATCTCATGTAATTACTATATTTATGGGGATAATAAATTATTGATTTTATATCTGAAGAACTATGATAGACTTACAACATCTAGCATTAGTAATGCTAATCTCCCTGTTCTTTAAGACATCACTAGCATTTATTCAAATCTCATATCAACCTTATGGAAGTCATAAAAAACCACTGTCAAAGTATAATTGAAAGCAAGAAAGATTACATAGCATGCTTCAAAAGCATTTATGTTCCCCCTAATCATAATCATGGAGAGTTATATAAAGAAATTAAGTCGGTTTTAATGGAAAAATACCATGTATTCCCAGAAACAATATGCAAATCAATCAAAGAAGCTGCTCTCATCTCTCCAAAGCATCTTAAATTCTACGCTGAGTTATTTAAATTAATATGTTCTGAAAATTTTCAACGATTTAAAATCAGAAAGCCTAGATTTGATGATTTTAACGACATTGTATACGAACTTCGTGGTGACATTTATAGTATGCAAAAGCAAAAGAATCATATGGGGATATGTATATTTTAAGAGATATAGCTCCGGAATGTTTTGAGCCAAAGAGAAAAGCCCATAAAGATGATAATTGGAAAAACATCAATTGGGTAGACAATAATGGATTAACTCAATTATCAATGTCTATATTGCGTCACAACATAGAGAATGCAATTTTTTGCATCCAGGTTCTCAAATGTGATGTAAATATTCCGCAACGATATTTGCCAATAAGCTTAGCTGTTCAAATTGATAACCTAGCGCTTGTGGAAGTTCTTTGCCAAAACGGTGCTGATTTAAACAAAGCAGACTTTCAAGGTTATTATCCCCTTGACAGAGCGAAAAGTCAAGAAATGCGTGATTTTCTAACAAAGCACGGATCTGTACAAAGAAAGAAATAATATTTATTGAGTAAACATTATTATATATTTATATTTAGAAAGAAATTGAGAGGGCTATTCATGTAGAATTTCAAATTGAAATTGCAAAATCTACTGTCGACATGGATGTTGCATAATCTAATATATCAGCAGATAATAATATCCATCAATATTTTGTTAGGTACAACTTTGAGAGATGGTTATAGGATAATCAAAGTTCATTTCCTTTTTATATATAGAGAGCGAGAGTTTAAATGGGGAACTTTGATATTTTTCCCACCATAGTAGTTTCACTTTTTGCATATGAACTCTATATTGATTCTGGCTAAAAACTCGAGAAATTAAAATTTTTCAATTTTTGGTCTGTTAAAAGTACCTTGATCTATATTCATAGAAACAATTGATTTGGATTGATTGGCAAAAAATCTTGTTTTTTGGAAATAAAACTAATTGGGCTGTTTTTCAAAATTGAACTTTATTGATAAATAGGTCTATTGTCTTAATAATTTATGGAAAAATTTTATAAATTGGAATTTTGATTTTTCTGGATTTTTTTTTAATTTTTTAATGTCTGAGCAAGACCTTCATCAAATTGAATACAATGAATTGAGAAGTAGATGTAAATACTACATCGATATATATAATGTATTGTATCAATTGAAAACAGAAAACGAAGAAGAATTAAAGTCAATTTACAAAATGATCAAAACCGAATTGATTGATTCAAAGAATTATCTTCCCCAAAATATAATCAAAGACATTTTAGACATAATTCCATATAATAATCGCTATACAAAGTCATATTTATATCTTGCCAAATTCGTATATGATGATTATAATGTAATATATGTCAACAATGTTGAACCTATTTCAAAATTCCTGTTTTACAAAGAATTTGGAATTAGATTAGACAAATCTGGTGATTTCATAAATATTCATTATGAAGATCGCGATATTTTTACAAAAAATACAATTTACAGAGCAATTATGGATGATGATAAAGAAAGATTCATCTACTTCATTGAAAGCGAAGAATTTTACGAAGATCAACAACTTTATAGCAATTTTTCCCACAAGCTCATAAAGGATATTCATTGCTTGAATTATGTTGTTACTACGGAGCAGTTAATTGTTTCAAGTTATTAAAAACAAAATTTGTCACAAAAATTTCTCAGGAATGCCTTGAACTATCATTTTTAGGAGGAAATGCAGAAATCATGAATGAATGTTTGAAATATCATAAACCAAATGAAGAATGTATGAAGTATGCAATTATTTCACACAACATTGATTTTGTTACGTTCTTAATGAATGTATACAATATAAATATCAAACTAGACTATTGTGCAGAATTTAAAAATCTTGAATCTTTTTTAGTTTATTTCGATCAAACTAATGATGCTAACAAATATTTCTTTTATTCAGCGATATTTGATACTCCATCATTATGCGAATATTTCCTTTCACGTATTTCAAATATCAATGAAAATGATGAAGATGGAGCAACAGCACTTCATTATGCAGCAAGATATAATAGTAAAGAAATTACCGAATTTCTTATTTCACATGGTGCAAATATCAATGAAAAAGATAATAATGGACAAACTGCTCTTCATATTGCAGCAAGATATAATAGTAAAGAAATTACCGAATTTCTTATTTCACATGGTGCAAATATCAATGAAAAAGATAATAATGGACAAACTGCTCTTCATATTGCAGCAAGATATAATAGTAAAGAAATTACCGAATTTCTTATTTCACATGGTGCAAATATCAATGAAAAAGATAATAATGGACAAACTGCTCTTCATATTGCAGCAAGATATAATAGTAGGCAAAATCGCAACCGAATTTTTAAATCTATATTTTGATGATAAATTGTGATTTTTAGCTTAAATCGCGATTTTTTAAAAATCGCGAACAGAATTTTTTCGCGATTTATTAATAAATCGCGATTTGAACGATAAATTTCGATTTTTTTAAAAAATCGCGATTCGTGAAAAAATTGCGACTTTTTGAAAAATCGCGAACTTTCAAAAAAATCACGTCCTTAATTTTGGTCTTTTTCGGAGTGATAAGTCGTCCTTTAAGTAATATTTTTTTTCTCGAATTGCTAATTGAAAAATTAAATTCGAGAAAAGAGATTACAATAGTATTGTATGGACTATAATCCTACTACTATAACACTTTTTTTGTGAAAATCACACTTTTTTAAAAAAAGATATCAAATTGAAAAAAATTATTCTTATTTTTACTTATACTGTAGGGCACATTCATTGGTTATGAAAATCACATAGTATGAATACTCAATCCCAAATATCTTAAAAAAATATTCTAAAATATTAGACTCGATTTTAGCAATTGTATTCTAATCATAATATAATGCCCGAGTATATTATATAAATAGAACAAATATTAGTAAATTCAATTTTTTTTTTCAGATCGCAAATTATCTAATACAAATATTCATAAAAATCACATACAGTATATTTGCATTCAATGTCAAATATAATAGCTATCTAATACTTTCGAAAAATTGAGCTATTGAATATTTTATAAAATTTCTGGTCCAAAAATTGTGCTTTCACAATATTTTGATGATATCTATAATAATTAGACTACAAATATAAATTGTATAATAAAAAATCAAAATTTGCTTTTGATATCTCAAATCTCGATATGAGATATTCAATGTCAAATCAAAGTATTCATAATTAACAGATTTGTATCGTGAATGCTTTCGTTTTGCTTAATACACAATTATGCATGACAAGTGTGTGTGGCTACACAATTCTTTCCGTCCGAAGCGGAGAATTGTGAAGTTTACACCGCACTTCACGGATAATATAATGGAAAAACGATTTTCATGGAATACTATTTTTATTAATAGCTTAATAAATGAGCGAGTCTGATAGATATATGTTACGCAAGATATATCCATAGAGAAGTGTTTAAGTATAAAACAATGCGTTATACGTTATATGTAGGATATAGATGGTTTTTCTCCATTGAGAATTTTGTCATGTGAAAAATCTCTTTTTTAGCTATGATAAAAATACTTTTTATATACTATTATATCTCAGTTGATATTGATTCAACATTCTTATTTCACATGATAATATAATAGTATATGTAGCGAGGTATTATATTCTCTTGTGATTTCGATCTATTAATGCTCACACAAAAAATTCGCTACATCAAAATTTCCTCGGAAAATTTCACTTTTGCTGCTTTGATTCAACTTTGATGTCCAATGAATACTCAATAAAACTCGAAACTCTGATCATGGAGATCTATCATCACATATATAATTATATTGCTTAAATATATGTATAAATTGTATTTTGGATTTTTCGGATTAAAAAAGGTTAAAAGTGTCATATTGATATAATTCACATTTTATTCTGCTTATAAATCATATTGTCTTGTAATATTTGATAAAATTATCACTGAATTCTTAATTAGTTTTTTTTTAAAATATCAATTTTGATTTATTGGACTTGAAAATATTTTATTTATATTATAAATCATATTATCATTTAGTGTTTATCAAAATTATGGTTCTTCGTTTTGTAGCTATATTTTGAATGACAATAGAAAAAAAAATACTAGAAACTAAATATGTATTTAATTTTATAAGTAAAAATTCACATAATGATAATATATTTGTGAAGATTATTTGAAGAAACGATTTTTATTAATTCAATTTTCATTATAGCATTATTTAGGTGAAGTGCTCTCAAATTGTGAGCCAGACAAATGTTTAATGGCTGCAATAAAGGAACATAGCTCAGGTGCGTTTGCATTGAATATTTATCGTTTTGATTTCACAAAACATCGTTGCGTTTAATCAAAAATTTGATTAACTTAATAAATTTAAAGATTAAGCGATCTCATTTTAACACAATCGGTAAATTCAATACGTCTATGAAACAAAGCCATAATTTCTCGTAGTATAAAATATTTGATAAAATTTTATCGCTTACAGAGGTGGAATTAAAGGGTGAGAGATATATAGATAGACTATATATCTCTCACCCTTTAATTCCCTATACAAAGTTCGAAAACTTGGGTGCAATCAGATCTGATTGCACCCAAGTTTTCGAACTTCATGTAAAGAATTGCTTGCTATGATGTACTGATCATGAATCAGTACATCATAGCAAGCAATTCTTCATCTTAAATATATTTTTCTTAATCAATACATAACTTGTTCGCAATTTGGTTTTAGACGCTATATTTTAATCTAATTTCGATTTTTTATAAAATCGCGTACTTCTAATAAAACGCGATTTCAAAAACAATCGCGATTTTTTTCTGTTCGCAATTTTTCAGAAGTTCGCGATTTTATAAAAAATCGAAATTTTTCTTTGCGATCGAGATTTAAAAATTCGGTTGCGATTTTGCCTAGTAAAGAAATTACCGAATTTCTTATTTCACATGGTGCAAATATCAATGAAAAAGATAATAATGGACAAACTGCTCTTCATATTGCAGCAAGATATAATAGTAAAGAAATTACCGAATTTCTTATTTCACATGGTGCAAATATCAATGAAAAAGATAATAATGGACAAACTGCTCTTCATATTGCAGCAAGATATAATAGTAAAGAAATTACCGAATTTCTTATTTCACATGGTGCAAATATCAATGAAAAAGATAAAGATGGACAAACAAAGGGTTGTAACATCCAAATAAGTTAAAACACTATAACAAAAAATTAAGTATTTAATAATTCTATGGTAGATTTTTTGTTACTAAGTGTCAGTAATTCCGAAAACGATATTTTATCAATTGGTCCGGCACTCAAAAAATGACATTTTATGACGTTTTAAATGAAATTGTTTACTTCAACCACAGGAAATAACCCTATGTTTGCAATACAATATATTAAATAAATTCTTATATTTTCTTTTTTCATCATACAAATTTGGATTGATTGTAGTCACATATAGCACAGCTTGATTTCAAATCATGAAAAGAAAAGGTGACTTTTAACCCAAACATATGGGGAAGAAAACATCTTAACTCGCTCAAATCACGAATTGGAGATTCACGATTAAAAACATAATGTATTTTCTAAATATTTCTTCTTATTTTCTAATACCATAGATAACTCAATCAGGTATTGAGATGCTACGGAGGTTTCCTGCCACCCTATATACAAAAGTAAAATCCGATATTTTTTTATTTAAGATTTCAAACATTAATTATCCCTATTCGCATCAGGTCCATTTGTACTTACAGCGACACTGTGAACAACATCCCAAAGAACTTGTATCTTTGATGAGAGAGAATTAGAGAATGTGGCTTGTTTTAAAGAAAGCTCAAAGCACAAACAATAAAAATTTAGATCGTTACTTATAGCTTTGATATCTAGAATGGATTAAATGTATAATTTCCTTGAGAAAATTTAAATAAAATCATATTGAGCACTTATAATTTAAAAATTATATGTTTTATGCATACTACAATGATATTCTTCAAGAAAATCATCTAAAATTTTGTTTGTGTACTTTTTTTGATTTTCAGTGTTTTGACAAAATGACTTCAAAAGCATCAATCCAAGCATTCGCGCAAGAAGCTGATATTGAGGAATCTGTTCGTCAACTACTCAAGATCACAAAGGAAAGCGCAGAGAACTTAAATACAACTATCGATACACTTGTTCAGTTAATATCCGACGACAAGAACCAGAAAAACAAGCCAAGATACTGCTACATGCTTACCTCACTTCTTAAGAAGAACAAATCAGAGATTTCAGGCAAAGACTTACTCGTTAATTTAAGAAAAGCAGTTCCAGAAGAAGGAAGGAAAGATCAAAAGCGCAGACATCGTACAGCATATATATTATCATTAGCCTGTGTCTCACGTGCAGGATTATTAAAGCAAAATTATCAACTCGCAGCTGATTATATTCAAACACTTTATGATATTACAACAGAGCACCCAGTTCACACAGGCATGGCTTTTAGCATTATTGCCGATATTGCTAGTGCAAACATTCCAGATTCAGACACTTTCATGGAATTAGTTCATCCTGTTGTAAATCCATCACAGAAAATCATCGAGAAGAATGTTGACGCACTCTACATGTGGACTTCATTCGAAAAAGAATTCAAGTCCGTTGCTAATGACGAATTATTAAATCGTCCACTTTCTAAAGAATACTTGCTAAACTTTGCCGAAGTCTTACTTCAAACAGCTGATTACAGACCAAGTATCCATCCAATATGGTATCTCCTTGCAAAAATCGATCATAAACAATTATTAGATCATGTAAGCGAACTTTGGCTTCCAGACTACCAAAAGAACAAACCACTTATTGCTTACGCTGTAACTGCTTGTGTTCCACTCTTAGATTCCGATGGACTTCTTGACTTTCTTGGAAATAAGAGTCTTTTTGTTACATCTCTTTCATTTGCCTCCAAGAAGCTTCTTATCCCAGTTCTTATGCCAAAATTCGAAGAATCATTCAACAAAGATAAGGAAACATTGTTCAAATTATTAATTTCATTATTATCTATCGACGGAGATCATTCTGACATCACAAAGATCTGTAATGACAAGTGCTCATCACTTTCCGATGAAGATACCCTTGCTCTCGCTGAAGCTCTTAAAGATGCTCCATCTCAATCATACAGAACTCTTCTTTGGGCACAGAAAACACGCGCCAACATCAAGGATTATTCAGTCATTCCGAAAGTATTCGCTTTGGCCTGCCAACATGCCAAAACTGACGATGATCGTCTTAAATTATCAGAATTTGTCGGAGTCAACTTCATGAGATGCACATCCGATGGCACAACATGGTTCACACTCCTTACAGGTATCGATTTCTCCCTAGCAGATTCACCAACGAACGTTCCTCAGCTTGCAGATATGACGAACCGCCTTATTGATGGTATCAACAAGGTCAACAGCATGCTGAACATCACACCCGAAGTCGCTAAGGTCGAGAGTACAATCGAATCCGTTTCAAAGACCTGTGGAGAGTTATTAAGATCAGATCGTGACCATATGAAGGAAGTTGGCAAGTTACAATTGAAGCGCGCACTTCCTTACTTGGATCCATCCACGGTTCCATCCATTTTCTGCGACGCAGAGTTACTTTCAATGGCGGTCCGAATTCCGGAGTTATGTGGTGCAGTTTTGCCTATGTTTATTGAACATATCAGACAGTTAAGCGACAGCCAGCGCCAAGAAATGCTTAAGGAGCCGCTCAAAAAACTCCCGATTTCTTCAGATGACGCTTTAAAGATCGCTCAGAACGTTGTCAACAGGGCAAAGTCACTACAGAACGAATCAGCCGCTAAACTCCAGGATAGATACGTCAACGCTCTGATGTCTTTGTTACCTGATGATCAATTACAGAAATTGGTATCGACGCAGGTATCTAAAGTACTCACAGAAGGTAGTGATAATGGTGTTGATGTTATTACTACTCTAATTGGCCTCAATTCTCAAACTGCTTTCGATGTTTTGGATTCTGTCACAAAAGTGGCTCCAAAGGTCGAACAACCAAAGAGATTGGAGATCATGAGGAACTGGATATCAGAGTGCTGCAAGAATGGCGATATTTCGTCTGATTCTATTGTTGATGCAATTTTTGCCGCAATCAACTACGAATACAACGAAACACCAAGTTCTAAGAAGAAACTCGAAGCAGCGTTGAAATGGGCTGATAGACTCATTAAGAAACTCGAAAGAGATATAAACAGAAACAAATTCAGAGAAATGATGCCAATGATCGCTGCAACTGGCTCTAGAGAAGCTGGAAATCTGATTCGTTCAATCACACTTTCTGCAGAATAAACTTAATATAGAATTATTTTTTAAATTTAAAGAATTATTTTTTATATATAGTGTTAATGTAGATTGAAATTCCAAGTAAATAACGTGCTAATTTCTTTATGTAATGTTTTTAATCTTCAAAATTGAAATTCAATAATTGAAATTCAAACAAATTCTTTTATAAAAGCCATTTCCAATAATTTTGAGGTGAAAAATAGGAAAGATTTCACTTTGATTTTATTCCAAATTGAATGAGACACAAGGTAAATAACATTTCTAAGATAAACCTATAATATATTAACTGCTCATCTTGTAAAATCAGCTATATTTTCTATTTTTTATATGTAGATCACTTCACGCTCATAGTTTTTTGATATTAAGTACCGATATTCAATTTGTTCATGTTTTTTCGTGAATATTAGAATGATTTTCATATTGTTAAATATAATATGGCATGAGCATTCATTAATGACGTTTGTTAATAGCATTCATGAGAGCGAATCTTGATTTTTTGTATTTGAAAAAGTGACAAAACACATCAAACCATGAAATTGCTGATTACCAGCAATACATGTAAGATTCGGCAATGAATCGAAGGTTACTGTCTCAAATCCTGTCACAAAATCAGGGAACACTTATAGATTCGAATATCCATGCTCAAATAATGATTGTACATATTTTGAGCTGCAATTCAAGCCAGGTATGTACCAAATTGAGTTATGGGGTGCCTCTGGTGGATATCTAGATAATAGTAAAGGAGGAAGAGGTGCATATGCATCAGGGTATATGTCATTTTTCAACCCGAAGACCTTATATCTATATCTTGGGGAGAGAGGTTCCTGGAGTGGTCCAGCAACATTTAATGGTGGTGGACAAGGTACAATAGATGTTAGTGATCATAGTCATTCAGTGTCAGGTGGTTCAGGAGGTGGTGCTTCAGACTTACGACTATCGGGAGGTCCTTGGGATGATTTTAAAAGTTTGAAATCAATGGTAATGATTTCTGCTGGAGGTGCTGAGTCAGCTCATTATGCAGCTTGTGGAGGCTTAATTCAAGGAGGTGCTGGAGGTGATCTAATAGGCTCTGATGGTATCATATGCACATTCGATCCTCGCCTTCCAATTACAAAATCTTTTGGAGCAAAACAAAATTATTATGGTACTGGTGTAGATCCCCATGGAATTAATGGTAAATTTGGCATTGGTGGATACTCAGATTTGTTCGATCATGGAAGCGGTGGTGGAGGGGGTTATTATGGAGGTGGCGGTGGGGGAGCTGTAAATTCACGTGTAGGTAGTGGATCAGGAGGTTCTTCATATATTAGTGGGCAAGAAAATTGTAAAGCAATAAGTGAAGATTATACAGAAACAAACTTAAAGCATCTTTCCACATCTGTTCATTTTTCTGGTTTCAGATTTTACTCGACTACACTTCTGAGTGGCTTGGTACAAATTCCAAGTTTTTCTTCACCTGGATCCTATGAGAGTAATGGCCATTATGGATATGGATTAGCAAGGATATCTATTATTGAAACTTTGAAACCAATATCTAAATGTAGTTGTTACAACATCAAATATTTGTTATTGTTTATAAGTATCGTATTCTCAGAAGATGAATAAAGATTAAAATAAACATTGCGACTTTTTTTTATTGTAATGAATTGACATTACAATTTTGGGTAAGTATAGCAATATTGTTTGCAATTTTTCTTTGCTTTGATAAATTCGTCAAGTTCCAAGGAAAAAAAGAAACAATAATTAAATATTTTCATTCATTAGTAATAATTAAATAATAAGAAATTAATAAACAAGTGTAATGAAGTCGAACCGTTTATTTGTTTCATTATCAATCTTAAAAGATATCGAATATCAAAAAAATATGCAATCTATATGAAAAATAAAGAAAGAATATAAATTGCTGGAAAGCAAAGCATATGATTTAGTAAAGAATTTTACGGCTTTGTGGATAATCTTGTAAATCTAAAATAAAATGATGAAATTTGAAAAATTTGTATGTGCAGATAATATGGGCTGTCTGTGCTTATCACATTTTTTTTCTCTAAATGCATTCCAAGGTGAAAAATTTAATATGATCTGATTTGAACATGGCCAAAAGCTATCAACTGTGCAAAACAATATTACTTGGTATGTGAGCATATTTTACAGATGAGCCGGGTCAATTGGATTCTTAAATTACAAAGCCAGGTGCTTTTTAAGAGTAATTGTGAGCTTTGGTTCATTTTTCGTTACAGATTCTTCAAGCTTTGTTGTTTCTACTAAAGAATATTTGTTTTTAAGAATTTCTGCGATTGATATCGCTTTATTTACTGCTTTTTCTTCTCCAACAATAGAAATACCCTGAAAATTATCAGAATCAATTCGCTTTTCGCAATACTCAATGAGAGTTTTCATTTGAGTATGTTGCTTTACGTTGACAATTTCCAGTGTCATTGTCACCTTTTGATCAATTGTAAGAAAAATAAAGGCAGAACTCCATCATTCCTGAACAATAATTTTCGATTACGGTGATTGATATATGCGATCTATATGCTCAGTGATTAGTACATGAAGAAATGAAGAAAAATTCCTTTACATTCTTAAGTCTTTTTATATCAAAGATTATCTTCAAACCATGATTCTCTCTGTAGATTTGTTTTTGGAATTAATTCTTTTAAAAGCCTGAACCATGATCCAAAACATAAATTGTATTTTTTCAAGTAGCTACATGTTGAGAAACAGAATAATCATCATATTTATTGAATTTTGATATTATTTTCTTTATCTCATCAACATTTACATGTATTGTCATCTTAAAGTTAATAAAAATAGATATTACAAGTTCTATTATTATCTCGCATATAGTATTGTTGGATACTTATATAATGTGATTGCCGAGCTAGGTGAAATTATTGTCAATATGCTTGAATAACTCGAAAAATAAACTTGATATCATATCATATTACAGCAATAGCTAATCATTTTAAAATAAACTGAACATACTCATGTTTCTGATTGCAATAACCATAATAATCATTATAACTTCCAAATTTTTAAATTCCAAAACAAGAGTCTTTTACCCACTCCATATATATATAAATAAATCACCCTCTGATTCACTGATATGAATGCATTGGAAGCTTCAGATGATCCCAATTGTAAGAGATCTTGGGCGCGTAAAGGGTTGGCGTCCTAAGGCGTCCTGATGTAAACTATTCAATTTTTGAGAAGTTTACACCATAATTGAATAGTTTATGGCGTCCTGAGAGGAGATTTCAATGGGTATGGCGTCCTAAAAAATAGAAGAAAATGATTTTTTCTCGATTTTTCTAGAAATTGAATTTTTTAAAAAAGAAAAAAATCAAAACGTATACATTCAAGAAAGACTATAAATGAAGATTTTTCTATTTTTTTTTCATTCTAAAACATCTTTTTTTGGATAATTTTTTTTTAATAAATATGTAAGAAAGATTGAAGAAAAAGTAAATTTACTTTAAGAAAATTCGTTTTACATGATGTAAGACCCATAACAACTATAAATATTCAATTATTTAAAATAAAAAAAGAAAAACAGATTAAATGTATCTCACATCAAAATCCATTGACCTAAGGATGTTAAGTTTCTGTTTTTAAAAGTTGATATTTTTTTTTTAATTTTAAGAAAATTAATAGCATGTTATTAGACAATAGGAGTGTAATGATATTGACTAAACAGAAATGAGAGAATAGAGATATAATTTTGATAAGCAATATTGCGAACAAATTCTGAAGTAAAATCGCGATCAATAATTGAAAATTACGATCATGTACTGAAAAATGACGATCGAATTGATGAATAGAATTATATCTAAGAAAAAATAAATTGTATTTAGAAGATGAACAAAGAAAGGTGTATGCTAAAAATCATTTAACAATAAATGGAAATAAAATGAAATTGTTAAAAGAAAAAATGAAAATTGTTAAATAATATATTATTTTTTAGTCATAAGAATAAAAATATAGTAGTTATAAAAGGAATTAGACTTCATATATCAATTCTTTTTCTCTGTAGATGTGGAACGTTTGCTTTTCGATCTCTTTCGATGAACTTGAAAATATAAGTTATTATCGCTGAGAATCCTTTCCGAAATAGGAGCTTTACGTTTAGGAGGATTGTCGGATGAATTTTGTTTTTTATTGTTTGATTTTGTTGTTATGGAAGATTTTTTCTTATTTTTTTCAGAATTTTGCTTGCTATTAACTGAAACTTGTTTTGACGGCCCAACAATAGCATTTGTAGTAGGAAGAATTCCCAATAACGAGCGCATTTTCGATAATTGTTTTTCAATATGATCAAGAAGGTCCAGCTTATGTTCTAGATTACTAGACATTTGATTTGTAGAAGGATGGTTTTGATTTTCTGGTTCTAAATCTGTAGAGTCTGCAATATTTGAATTTTCGGAGCGAATTGGAGCATCTGAACCTTGATTTGTATCGGCTTGCTCAAAATTAGTTTGAATTGGAGTGGATGAATTAAAATCTGGATGATTTAATGTTTCATTAAATAATGCCATAATTTTTTCTCTTTTTTCATTAATAAACTTAGTGATCATTGTATCTTTATCTGTTAGATCGATCGATTTGAGTATATCTGCATCATGAACTGGAATATTTTCGAACAATGAACTCGATTCTATGGAACCATATGGAGAAATCTCGTTCTGAGCCAAAGAAAGATCACTTACGTTGTATTGTTTGATAGAAAAAATTGTTTTCTCAAGTTCTTTTTGAAAGCAGTCAAGAATATAATTTTTGTAGCTATCAGTGATAACGGTTTTTATATGGCGCTCGATCTTCTGGTTATTTTTGATGGCGTTATATTTATCTAATTGGATTTGAGATATCTTCTTAATAGCTTCATAAATGTTTGGATGTTTTAACGAAGAAAATTCTGAATGCATACTCTCGAGGCAATCATTAGTGAATATTGCAGTTGCATTATTATATTGAGATATTAAATTGTAGTGCGGCAACCAAACTTTGTTGAAATAATCAATATAATCTTTGATCGAATCAACTTTATTTTGATTAATTATATGCATTGTAAGTACAAATTCTTCATGAGACATGAATGGAGTAATAGAATATAGCTTAAATAAAGAATTTTGTAAAGTATTGAAATTTTTTGTATAAAGTGCTACAAGTTTCCTGTGTAAAGCTTGTTTGAAATGAAATAGGCATCCAATTATACGGACTTTAGGGAAAATTTGTTGAAGTGCCTCTATCATTCCCTTTTCAAAATCACAATGAATTTGAATTAGCTTTGAAAATTGAATACCCTTGACAGTAAAAATATATTCAAATGCCTTCTTATAAGATTCAAATGTGCGGTTTTTCATGAATATAAATAAAAGTGGTAGATATTGATTTGTTGAAGGTTCACAAATCATAATTGTTAGCATCTGTCCTTTTTGAAAATGTTTTGGTGTAATTTTAAAAGTTCCATCGCAAAATAAATCTGTGGCTTCTTTTGCAAATTGAATTGCCTTCTCAAAACCAAAAAACATCGTCTCACAATTTGCTTGAAAATCATGGCCAATGAAAAACTGCTCGCCATTTATTAAACAAAAATTAGCAATTTCATCGTCTGTAATTTTTTCTCCAACAGAAAATTTTCTGGACTTATTATAAACTTCCCTGACCAATGAATCTTTAATTAATGGGTTTTCATCAGTACCAACAGCAAGTTCTGTCATAAATTTTTTAATCTGCTGAAAAGTGCCGTTGTCTTCAGAAAATTTTGCCATTGCCTTATTGTATATTTCTGTCAGAGTCATTGATTTATGAAGATCATTTTTTTCATTTTGTAACTTTTTAAATTGTCTGCATTCGGGTATATGTTCCTTTTGTAAATCTTCGGAAACTGAACTGTTCTCAATTTTAACTAAATAACGTGCTTGACAAGAATGATCGATGCAACGGTAGTAACGTTCAATATTATTTGAATTAATAATATTTGTATGATCATGCGAATAAAGCATATCTTTGCGAACAATTGTATCAGGATATTTTCCAGTAACTGCGGGAATATTTTTAACTGCAATATAACTAAAATATCTTCTGACAGCTTTAGATTCATTTTCGGCGTATTTAATATTAAAATATTGAAGAACTTGTTTGATTATATTCGTTTTTTCATCTCTCGATGTTGATTTTTGGTATTTATCAGATTGTTCCCTGATAAATATTTTATTTTCGTCTGTAAAGTTTGCTCTTTTTTGATTAAATATAGATGATTTTCCCATTAAAAAATGAAATGATGCAAAATTTACGAAAACCGTTCGAAAATTGAATCAAAAATGAAAAGTAATACTTAAATGAGGAATTCTTTGAGATATTGGTCTTAGATTGAATGTAGCGTCATTCTTATATAGAATATATATTCATATCATCGGAAATATGATAAAAAGCATATAATAAATGTCAAAAAAGTGAACAAATAAGCAAAGATATTTTTTAAAAAACAATGAAAAGTAATACTTAAATGAGGAATTCTTTGAGATATTGGTCTTAGATTGAATGTAGCGTCACAAATTTCACAAATATAATTTACTATACAATTTTATTCATTTTTTTAAAATGGCTGACGACAGTCTGTATCAACTAACTCAACTAGTCAAGCATAATGATTATTCTTCGGATTCATTAAATCAACTTTATCAATGCATAAGTACAATGACAGAAAGATCAATTGGATGCTTGAATTGGGATAAATTTTTCAAAAAAATCACAGTGACTGATGAAGTTCTTTTACATTTTTTAGCATCCGTTTTAAACATTGAAAAGATATCAGAATGTTTCAAGGATTCTATTTTTTATCACAATATTAATCTTGAAAAATTCAGTAATTTAACTGAAACAGAACAACAAACAATTTTAAATTCCTACAAAGCGGATAAATTTACATATTACATAATGTGCTCACAAATTGTAAAATCAAACTGGAACAATTTATCCCAAACTTTAGTTAATATTGCAAATCAATATTTGCCATTTTTAGATGAAGAAAAGCAAATATATATATTTACTGAAATAACTGGCAATTATCAAAATTTTGAAATTTCAGTTGCAAACTTGTTACTTTTTTATGAAAACAATGAAGAAAAATTAAGCAACTGTTTTAATTTAACATTGTTCCAGCAAATTTATTCCAAAAATGGAATCGAGCAAATGATATTTTTTGCTGCAAATACAATTTGTTGCAATAACACTTCTATCAATTTTTACAATCTCCTTGAAATTGAAGAAATGAATCCATTTGATTTTTTTTATTTCTCAATTCAATATAAAGAGATATTAAATTGCGATGATTTTCCAAAAGTTACAGAAGTAATCACAGGTTTAATCTCAGCTTCAAATATTAATGCTATTATGCGAATTTGCCAAAAAATTTTGGATAAAATTACATTTTATAAATGTAATTATTGCCATATTACCTCAATATGGAATTTTATCACAAATGCAGCAATAATTCTTCCTGATGAAGATTTATTAATCAAATTATTAAAATTCATAGAAAAAACAGAAAAAGCAACAGATGAATTATTCGAACCGGAGAATGATTTGGGTTTCTATGAATATTTAAATTCGATTTTCTCAGATATTACATCTGCGAGAAATAAGCAATTTCTCTTGGAATTTCTAAATACCCATGAAGATGACTTCACTTATGATCAAACCTTGTGAGGTCATTTTTGATCAACAAATTAATTGAAATTCCGATCAAAAAAATTCACAAATTGGATCAAAAAAATCGAATCTCAAGTTAAAAATAAAAAATTTCTACATTTTTATCAAATTTAGATTTTTTTTTCAAATCATGCGAATTGATTGAATAATTGCATATTTTATCCCATGCATCTAGAAGTATGTGTAATATTTTTGCTTTCATCAAGAAATTGTCGAATTTGATCTTAATTTTTTTTGAAAAATATACTTTTAGAAAAAGAAATAGTGATTGAATAGCTGCCCATGCTGTAAAAGGGTTATTTTTACAAGTAAAAAAATTGTTATTTTTCGAGCAAGTCGAGGCTTTTTTACCATCTTATTTTTGAAAAATTTACGAAAAATTATATCTAAAAAAACACTTCATTTTGATATCTTACAATGATAAAATACCAATGTTGCTGGGATATAATAGCTACACCTGGACATCTACTACATTAATGCGTATGACAGGTAAAGTTGATTTCAAAAATATAGCCTGGAAAGATTACAATAAATCAACGATAATTCAAAAAAATTTCTTATAAGTTAACATAATAAAAATTTAATTTTTATATTGCTTGTATTATACTTAAGTATATAATATATTTAAATCTTAGAATGAAAATTCGGGACGCCCTAGCTATTCAATTTTCCCTTAGGACGCCCATAAACCTCTCAAAAATGTGATGTAAATATCACAATTTTGAGAAATTTACACTAGGACGCCTTAGGACGCCAACCCCCTTTTTTACCAGAGATCTTTTAAAATTATACTTTTGCAAATTGAAAAGCTTTGAAGAATTTGAAAACAAATTTAATGATCTTTTGAATTTTGATAATAAATAAAAAGTTTTAGAGTATTTGTTTATTCAAAATTGATATAAAAGAAATGAGGTTCTCATATTACATTTCACTTACGCCCTTTGTACAGGCTGATTTTATTTTACATTTAGCATTGACATACTAAATAAATATTAGCAATCAGAAATGTATAGATAATCGAAAAGTGCCACATCCAAAAATTTTATAAATCATGTTGAGTACTGAGCAATCAAAAAACGAATCTGGATTTGATTTTAAAGATATTAAGCCAAATGAAGTATTTGAATACCCTGATCAAGCATCAAAAATTATTTGGAGTGTCAATTCCAATAATATTTTACAAATATCTTCACAAATTATAGAATTCATTACAAATAACAAAATACCAATCCAAATGTCACTTTACTTGATTGATATTATGTCGCAAATTCGTGTTAAAGATATCAAATTATTTGCAGAACTTTATTTAAACATATTAAACGAATTCTCATGTTTAATCAAGCCGAAAAATGAGGAATTGGCTACGCTTCTATATTATAAAGGTTTCAAATTTGAAAACTTCGAACCTAAAATGAAAGAAGAAGATATTCTCAATATATATTCAACAAAATCTCCTTTATTCTACATTGCATGGGATAAAGTTGATGATCTTAAGGATAAATTCCCAAAACTTGATATTAATGAGAAAATAGATTATGAATTCACACTACTTGATTGTTCAATTAAATATGGATCAGAATTGTGTTTCAATTACTTAAAAAATTTAGGAGCTAGATACACAGGATATTCCGAAATGTATGCTGTTCAAGGCGGAAATAAAATCATTTTTATGCAAATGATTGAAGATGGTATATCATTTGATAACATGATTAATACAGCATTGGATTATCATAATTATGAAATTGCTGAGTATCTTAAATCAAATTTTGGACAAACTTTTGATTCAATAGCTGAAAGTATGCATTTTGGAAATTATGATGTTGCATCTTATTTACTTTCTAATGGAGAAGATATCAACAAAATTTATATTCTCTTTATTTTCATATTTATCATTGTTTTATATAATTCTCTTTATTTTCATATTTATCATTGTTTTATATAATTCTCTTTATTTTCATATTTATCATTGTTTTATATAATTCTCTTTATTTTCATATTTATCATTGTTTTATATAATTCTCTTTATTTTCATATTTATCATTGTTTTATATAATTCTCTTTATTTTCATATTTATCTTTGTTTTATATAATTTTCTTTCTTTTCATATTTATCATTGTTTTATAATATAGGGTGTCCAAAGGTGCGTTTAGCACAGCGCTCTATATGAGACTATTAAAGGAGATATATGCTGATTATAAATATATAATAAAAAATATGAATATATGTATATGATGAGTATGTTGTATTTTGGCGCCATGCCGGAATATAAAATGAATTTTGAGACAAGAGGCGGTTTCGCGGGAAATTTTGGCGGGATTTTTTTCATTTTTTTAATGAATCATAAAGAAAACATCCTCGCTCTTGCAAAAAAATGCAAAGACTGTAAAAAAATCTACGAGACATTGGTAAAATGCTTCGGTATGGATGCTCCTAGCTATTCCACTGTAACGTATCATGTTAGGATGTATCACTTCATGAACAAAAAGGCGCCCATCATAAAATTGACAAAAAATCGCCGGATCAAAGAAAAATCAAAGCAATTCTTCAAGCGCTAGATGAAGACCCAAGAGCATCACTCAGAAGGATAGAGGAGATGACAAAGATACCACGTACAACAGTCAGTTATTATCTGCACAATTATTTGAACTACAAACTAGTGTATACACGTTGGGTTCCGCACAACCTTAATTCAGTTCAAAAAAAATCTAGAGTCCAATCTTCGAAAGAGCTCCTCTCTATATTGGGTGCGTATCAATCCAAGAAGTTTCGCTTTTTAGTAACAGGGGACGAGTCTTGGTTTCAATATGCAACAGAAGCCAAAATCATGTGGATCCCGAAGGATGAAAATCCGCAAACATTCCCGAAGAAAAAAATTGACACACCAATGATGATGTTGTCAGTTTTTTGGGGCGTGAATGGCATCATCGCAATTGATATTCTTCAAAAACCTAATACGATGAATGCTCAGTATCTAATTGACAATGTTCTTACTCAAATTATCAATTCTGATGAGTTTGAGAAATCCAAACAACAAAAACAAAAGTTTGCAATTCATTTTGATAATTCAAGAGTTCACAAAAGTCATAAGGTAATGAATTACTTGGTGGAAAACAATGTCAAAGTTGTTCCAAACCCAATTTATTCACCTGATATTGCACCCTCTGACTTTTATTTATTCGGCACGCTAAAAAAGAGAGCTGAAGGACGCGAATTCGCGAGTCCAGATGATCTTGAAAATTTTGTAAGAGAGCAATTTGAGCAATTTTCTCATGATGATTTAAAGCGTGTCTTTCAAGCCTGGATCGATCGCTGCGAACGCGTGATTGAATCCAATGGTGATTATATTTAAATAAACTTTATATATATGTAACTTGTTTATTTCTATTCGCAGTATTCAGGTTTGTGCTAAACACACCTTTGGACACCCTATATTCTCTTGATTTTCATATCTATCATTGTTTTATATAATTCTCTTTCTTTTCATATTTATCATTGTTTTATATAATTCTCTTTATTTTCATATTTATCTTTGTTTTATATAATTTTCTTTCTTTTCATATTTATCATTGTTTTATAATATTCTCTTTATTTTCATATCTATCATTGTTTTATGGTATTCTCTATATTTTCATATTTATCATTGTTTTATTGGATTATCTTTCTTTACATATTTATCAATGATTTATGAAATCATCTTTCTCTTTATATTTATCAATATTTAATGAAATTCTCTCGATATTAATGAATGTCCTCTTAGTATTGCAATCAAAGCGAATTCAACAGAAATTGTCAAATTTTTAGTTGAACATGGTGCAGATGTCAACATGAAACTTACTCTCTTTCTTTTCATATTTATCATTGTTTTATAAAATTCTCTATATTTTCATATTTATCATTGTTTTATTGGATTATCTTTCTTTACATATTAATAATTGTTTAATGAAATTATCTTTATTTACATATTTATCATTGTTTTTATAATATTTTCTTTCTTTACATATTTATCAATGATTTATGAAATCATCTTTCTCTTTATATTTATCAATATTTAATGAAATTCTCTCGATATTAATGAATGTCCTCTTAGCATTGCAATCAAAGCGAATTCAACAGAAATTGTCAAATTTTTAGTTGAACATGGTGCAGATGTCAACATGAAACTTACTCTCTTTCTTTTCATATTTATCATTGTTTTATAAAATTCTCTATATTTTCATATTTATCATTGTTTTATTGGATTATCTTTCTTTACATATTTATCAATGATTTATGAAATCATCTTTCTCTTTATATTTATCAATATTTAATGAAATTCTCTCGATATTAATGAATGTCCTCTTAGCATTGCAATCAAAGCGAATTCAACAGAAATTGTCAAATTTTTAGTTGAACATGGTGCCCATGAATAAATAGTTGCGTTATTCAATTTTGAAACAAAATATAATAATGTCATTTGTAAAATTGATAAAAATTTAATCCTATTATATAATGATTGTTATATTTTTGGTAAAAGTAGTCCAGATAAATTTTCTTGCACAGTTTTCAATTTTGCTAATGGATATATACTTACCATCTGCTGTGAAACTTATATACATGGAATCACGAAAATCTATCGAGGCATTTTGGAGATATTTTTATCAAAATTATATTTCTTTAATTTAAATGAAACTGATATTTATTTTATCAATGTATTTGTTGTGTATATTAAATTCTGGATTACTTTAGGAGTGAGAAAGATTTAAGAAATCATTGTGTCAGAAAGTATAAATTTGTAAATTTTCTTGCACGAAAAAAATTTTGGCATTGTGGTTTTTTGTGTCAGAAATTACAGAGATATTAAATAGTTGCAGTACCAATTTTTTCTCAACTTAAAAGTCTTTATACGGTACTTTTTCAGTAAACTGCTCTTAGTTTCAAATTTTATATTTTTTGCAATATAAGTACATGGATGAATATCATTTGTAAAATTGATAAAAGAGGCTGTCAAACATCTTATTTCAAATTGTGCAAATATCAACGAAAGAGATGAATTTGGGTGTACTGTTCTCCATTATGCAGCAGAAAATAATAGTAAAGCGATCGCCGAACTTCTTATTTCACATGGTGCAAATATCTATGAAAAAGATGATAGAAATACTGCTCTTCATATTGCCGCATATAATGATTTTTTTTTAAAAAAGCAGAACTTCTTATTTCACATGGCTCACATATCAATAAAAAATATATATGGAAAAACCCCTCTTCATATTGCAACAGATAAGAATTTTAAAGAAATAGCTGAACTTCTTGTTTTGCATGGTTCAAAGAATAATGTTCATACATAAGATACTTCTCTTTCATCTTCGAAGATGAATTTTATTAGAAGTAAAAAAAAATAATTTATCTTATCTTATACTGCGTCTAATCGTAAAAATGATTTTTTATTACTTTTCCATACTTTTATATTGATGATATAAAGATATTGCTTTGCAAAAAAAAAACGGATATGCTAGCAACTTTATCCAAATATCTTATATCACGATATTTGGCACTTTTCTACCTCGCTTTAGCGGGCCTTTTCCGAATGCGAGGCAACAAACATATCATGTGATTTATTTATCTACAGTACGAAGATATATATTTGATCAAATATAATTTGGGACATCTGGTGGCATGCTTGCCCGATGGGCAAGCACGCCACCTGAGGTCAAATTAACTAATTTTTGAAAAATTGAATTTTTCAATATTTTGTTGGGGTAAAGCACCAAACAAAATAGTGAAGAATATAAACACATGTTTATTTAAAATATGATTAAAATTTCTGAACGAAAACTATCAAAATTTAGTATGCTAATTTACTGTCTTAATTCTATCGGCGCAAAAGCGCCGATTAGGGATGCGTTAAACACGCCATTTGACCGGGCGTACATTTTTTTTGTTCGCCCTAGGGCTGTACAAAATCGAGAAAAACATTGCCGTGCGGTAATATAGGGTCAAAAAAATCGCGCCTCGGCGGCTCCGCCGCCTCGGCACTATTAAGTGCGCATTATATTTAATATGTCCTTCTTTTTTTTCTTTTTTCTTCTTCTCTTTCCTTTCCTTCTTCTTTTCCTTTCCTTCTTCTCTTCTCTTCTTTCTTTCCTTCTCCTTCTCTTTTTACAACAACGTCGAAGATCTTCGAATTTGATTGTTGGAAAAGCATCTATTTCAGATAAAGGATGCCTTTCTCACAGTCAACATACGAGGGTCCTGGCTGAAACGTTCTCAAAAACCCGAGATGGTAATTCTCTGATCACTCATAGCTGGGCAGGTAGTCATTGCTGACATACCTGTCTTTATGCATGCACGCTTTCATGTATATGGGTTACACTATCAATTCGCAAAGTTGTTCCGAATTCTTCCAAAATGGAAGGACCCGAAACAACTTTGCTTGTTAACGATACAGACACATTACTTTGCATTGATACTGTGCTGAGTTGTGTAGAAAGTTTGATTAGAGTTGTTTTGTTCTGGTATCTCTCATCTTCTGATGAGAGAAATCAAAGCAACAACAACTCTAATGAGTTTGTTTTCACTCATTTGTATGTAGGTTTTTAGTTCGATTGGAGCTGCTTCATAATGAGATCTCTCATCAATTGATGAGGGAGATCATAACAAAGCAGCTCTAATGTATATGCTCGTATTAACCGGGTTGTAATGCGTTGTAACGTCAGCTTGTAGTTCGTTTGGGGCCACTTCACATTGAGATGAGAAGAAATGATTAAAGGACTCTGAAAGGCTTTGGCCGTTGATGTTGTAATCGCATTACTTGGAACTAGCTGGATGCTAAGCTGTGTAGAATGTTCGATTAGAGCTGTTTTGATATGATTTTTCTCATCATAAGATTGGAGGAATCATAGCAAAACAACTCTAATGGGTTTACCATCATCTACTTGTATGTAGATGTTTGGGAAATTGTCTTGTTAATCGATTTTCGAGATGACTTTCAAATGCTATAATCAAATGACAAACAAGTCTAAGATTTCTCGACAATACATCAAATCATGATGTTTGTAAGTGCGATGAGATTAGAGTTTTTGAAGGAATGACAAGAGAAGTAGGGAAGCCCGGCATTCGCCGAGCAAATTAAAAATTAACGTATGGATTAAATTTTAAGAGGAATTCAATTTTAATTACGGGTTGTTCAAATATTGATTAATATAAATTTATTAATAAGAATAAACAATTTTTGTTTTTTAATTTATTCAATTTATAGCTTTACATATAGTTTCAAAATTGTACAACTATGATTATTTCAACAAAAAATATCTTACTTTTTCACTTCACTTTCACCCTCACTTTTTCCGTAATTCAAATTTCAACATTATGTATTTTAATTCCTTATAGTATTTTTAACATAATTAATCAAATAATAATTGGAAGTTCTGAACTCACTTTTTCCGGAATTCAAAATCAAAAATATGAATAATATATCTATTTATTATATACTAATGCTATTTTCAACTAGAAGTGAGGTACGGTAATCTTACGGATTCCCGTAACTCAATTTTACGGAAAAAGTGCAGTAAACTACTCAATTTACGGAAAAGTGTTGTAAACTATTGATGTGGCGGTAAAATCACGGTAATTCACGGAAAGCTATATGCGAAAATTTGAAATTATACAAAATCGAGCGAAACACTTTTAAATAAGTTGTTCTCGTATTTAAAATACTATTCCCAGATTTATTGTCGTCAGAATATTTCCAAATTTTTGCCGATTTACAAAAAATGATTTACAAAGCATATTTTTTAATCTAAAAAATTCCTTAAAAAAGGAACCGGTGTGCGGAAACCTCGGTAAATTACCGCGGTTCCCGTTGGGACTGCCATATATTCGGCCGAATGGCGGGTACGAAGTAGCCGCCATTCGGCCCCAAAAATGGCGTATTATTCTATTTTTAAACGGTCATGGCGTAAAACCGTCGCATCCCTACGCCGATAGAATTGACTGACAATTAAGGGTGCACCCGTATGTACGTTTATTTGAGAGGAGGAGGATTACCCTCTCAATTTTGAGGGATTCGTTAGTTTATTTTCTCGATGAATATGCAATAAAATTTGATTTTTACCTTATCAATATACTTCATATAATATACACATGTGTTCCATATTAAGTTCTGTCAAAATGTAAGCTATTCAATTCTATCGTCGGGGGAAGTATCACAAATCTATCAATTTTTTGTAAAAGTATACAAAAACATATAGTGTTCAATTAGTTTATAATAATATAAATATTAAGATTATCCAAAATAAGAAAAACTAGGTTTTGAGAACACTTTTGAGATGATAATCAAAATATTTTGATTGAAAAATAATATATTATTTATCAGATATAGAATGGATTTTTTCAAATTTAAAAATTCTGAAAAATAAACAGTTTTGTAAAGTTAAAAAAATGAACGAAAACTCGAGACCTCGTATTCCAAATGAATGGGTAAGATATATGTATGAAAAACTTGAAAGTGGTGAGTTAACTTACGCAACAGTTTTGAAAAAAGTTCCATATTCTTATCAAAATGTTACAATTTTCAAACAAATTTCAAGAAATACTCTCAAAAAAGCATTCAAAGAAATCGGTGGTACACCAAAAATTAAAAGTGGTCCTCCACAAGAGGAATTAACTCCAGAATTAATTTTGAAGGTTCAGAATTCTTATGAAAATTACAAATGTGGGGTTCAAAAATTGTATTGGACTCTCAATATGAATCCAAAACAATTTCAAATCAGTTACAATGCAGTTATTAAGGCAGCAAAATTTCTGGGAATTTACAAAGAAAAAGATAAAAGTAATCCAAAAGCATATTATGTGGATTATGAAGCAATTCTTCCAAATACAATCTGGCATGTGGATATTCATTTTTTGAAAGAACCAGAAACTTTACCGGTTTATGGAATAATTGATGACAAAAGTCGTTATTTGTTAGCATTGAAATTGCTTCGTAACAAAAGTTCAACAGAAACTTCAAAAGTGGCAATTGCAACAGTTCAAAAATATGGAGCACCTTTCTGTTTCTGGTCAGATAACGGTAAAGAAAATGAGGGAGAGTTCACAAAATTTTTGAGTACTTATGACATTCAAATCAGAAAATCAGCTCCATACATGCCACGTCAAAATGGCAAAATTGAACGCCTCTGGCCATCACTGGACAAAAATGCTCCAAAGTCTTCAGAATTTGAGAGCATCAATCAGGAATTGGAAGAATTCAGGCAAAAATACAATGACATGCCACATGGCGCTCATCCAAAAATTGGAGTTCGACCATACACTCCAAGAGAGGTTTACAACAAATTTAAGAAATGGACCAAGGATGATAAACCGCTCTGGAAAAAATGTGTTAATAAGCAGTGGGAAGTTGAAGAGATTCCAAACTATTGAAATATTCTATATTTTTTCAAAAATTCTCATTCAAATTTGAATTTGGTTTTCAAAATTATGAATAAACATTATTTTTATTAAACTTGATTTTTAGCTCTAAAGAATCAAAAGAATTTAGCGAGAAAGAATATGCAGCTCACATAGGGGTAGATAAAGATATATCTCGAAAAAAATTGAATTTATTGTAAAGAATGAAGAAGTTCATTTTAAGATTGAGTTGATTTTCAACCAAAACGAGAGAGCATGCAGGCAAATGAAATTCGAAAAGTGAAAGGAATGACATATGCAAAAGAAAAGATTCAAATAACGCAAGCGAAATATAGATCAGTTAAAATCACAATAAAATTTCGATCTTTTCTACAGGGAACTAAAGGCTATGAGGCACTAATATATAATCAGTGCCTCATAGCCTTTAGTTTGTTATTAAAAGAGAAAACTTGTTCGAATGATATTGCGAACAAGTTTTCTCACTTCAGCGAGGGAATTGTTCCTTATGATGCATACATTATAAATATATACATCATAAGGAACAATTCCCTCTAGATAGCTGGGAAACTTTCTCTAAATAACTTATCATTTGGAGAAAGTTTCCCAGCTATCTACTGGGAACTAAAGGCTATGAGGCACTAATATATAATCAGTGCCTCATAGCCTTTAGTTTGTTATTAAAAACGAGAAAACTTGTTCGAAATGATAAACAATTGCGAACAAGTTTTCTCACTTCAGCGAGGGAATTGTTCCTTATGATGCATACATTATAAATATATACATCATAAGGAACAATTCCCTCTAGATAGCTAGGAAACCCTAAATTAACTATTAATCTTTGAGATATTTTTTTATTGAGGTTAATACGTTTTTCTAAATAATTAAAATGTAAAATTTTGATTATGAACTCATCTCTAATATTTTGGCTCTTTAATATATTTGAATCATGATCTTTGACAAGAGTTCTCAAAAGTATTCACAAAAGCTATTTTTTCTTGAAATTTAAAAATCCTGTTTATCATATATTATCGAATTCAATTCCCTACATATTTCAAAATATTCTATGAACATTTCAATTTTTGAAAAAAAAACATATTTTTCTAAATATATTTATTCTCATATTTCTAATAATATTTCCTAAAGCGTCACTTTTTACTTCCTCGACGATTATTTCCCTCTCAAAAAATTCAATAGCTTACATTTTGACAGAACTTAATATGTAACACATGTTCATGTAAAAACTTTTTTCCAAAATCCTTAGGAATTAAGGGATTTTTGAATTTTAAGAATTTTTTTCGAATTTTTTCGAAAAAAAATATTTTCAGAACAGCCTTAACGGCTATGATTTAGGAACAATGTTAAGTATCAAAAAGAAAGGAGGTCTGATATAGACAACATATATCGTTGAAGGTTGAAAAAATCTCTAATATTTGAGCCCAAAATTTCAAATTTTAATTTTTTGAAAAAAGAGGCCACCCGTATGTACGTTTATTTGAGAGGAGGAGGATTATATTTTTGAAAGGGTGAAACATTATGAATATGTTAATTATATAATAATATGTATTATTATAAAAAAGAAAAAATAAAGCACGTTAAAATTTTTCTTTCTTGATTTTTTACAAAATCTACTTAGAATTATGCAAAATATGACTAAATAATTATAAATTTCAAGTTAAATTTTAATTTTGATAAATAATTTAAATTTCAAAATATCAAGTTCAGTTCGACTATGTATGTAGTAATTCCTCAATAAAGTGCCAAAACCCTATTAAAATATATGAACATTTTCAACATTTTAATGTTTTTATTTAAAAATTTGATGGAATATGAGCTTCAAACAATTATTATGTAAATAAAAATAATTAAATATATGTATTTATTCGTATTACAACCGTAGTAAGTCGATTATTCCTTTCTTCTACTGAGTTTTGAATTTGATTTCGAATTGTAAAGAGATTCAAAGGGAAAATACTAGCGGATAAAAACTACCTCCATGAAAGGGTCATAATGGAGTCAAGTTGTATTTTTTGATATTTTTTGCTTTTCGAGCCTAAATAGGTAGCCAAGATAATGCCTAAAAATAAGGTTCTAAATTCTGAAGTTTACATGATCCTCTCGTGTGCACCCTTAAATAATTTTAAATTCGATGGAAAAAATGTATGTTTATCTTGAAAATCAGAAAAAAAGGAAATTTTTAGAAATGTGAACATGTTTTATAATTGATGCATGTTCAAATAACTTTCTTTTGGCCTCTTAAATGATTGGATATTTTATAATCTGAATAGTATTCAAAATGGTGCCACATATTTTATGGAGTTCTCATTAGGTTGAGTATAGGGCATATATATTTTGCTTTTGACTTTTAAATAATTCAATTTTTTTTTAATAATTCAAATTCTTTCTTCAATAACAATTATCGCCTATATAATTAGTCTCAAACAATATGATTATCCATAGTTTTCAAAAATGTGAACCATAAAAAAATCAAATGACAACAGACCATCCTCAAAACATTATTATTAAATCAAAATAGGTGGAAATTACTGTAAAGATATCTTGTAAGCGGTAGAATATAACGAATAGCTCAAGTCAATAAAAATTCGCGAAAGCACAAAATAGTTAAACTTAAAATTCGGAACTCGCAATACACATTCCTATTTAAGAAGTATTATTCTTTGTATTTATTCCAAGGATCGACGATACAATAGAAAAAATGCCAATTAATTTTTCAAAAGAAGTGAGAATTACCATTGCCTTAATACCGCATTGACAAAATAATATCGAATTTATAAAACTTGTTAGGCTGAAAATATAAACAATGAAAATTCTTCCTTTTTTAAGGCAAAATTGATCATATTTGATTTTAAAGACTTAGAACATAAGTAATATAATTAGTAAAAGCAGTTATTTGCATTTTTGACCAATTTTTAATTGGAAAATGTCCAAAAAGTTACCATTTAGCCAAATGGTTTGCAAGGTATGTTTCTGGTGTTGGCATGATTCATTTGATTCGATGATGGATGCATATTACTATGAAAATCACGATTTTGGTCGTGCAATGTCAAAAATGTGAACCATCAATAATCGATGTTTTATGTTGTTAAAAAATCGCCCTGATATTGAAATGCGATACCAATGGCATAAAATTTTAGATCACGATCGGGATGTCAATCAAAAATTCCGCTCAAGAAAAATTTCAATATCATGATGTCACTTTTTCATCATGTTCAGTCGACCAATCAAGGATTATTTAAAGTATTCATAATTATTAACAAGTGATATTTAAATTTTATTTTTTATGATCGGCGATTGAAAAAGAAAGTCCATCGATTATTTAAAATGAAGATCTACGAATATCGTGTTATTCTTCCAACAAACGTTCCACAGTACCAGATTGGTAACCTTTACATGTGTGCACAACGCACACGTGAAACCCAAGGTGGTGGCGAAGGCATTGAGATCTTAAAGAACGAGCCATATCAGGAAGGTGAAGAGAAGGGCCAGTACACACACAAGGTCATGCACTTCAAGTCTAAAGTTCCAGGTGCCATTCGTTGGGCTATTCCAGACAAATACCTCCACATCGATGAGAAGTCACACAACTCATATCCACACTTCCACACACTTTACGAACAGAAGGGTATGGGCAAGGACTTCTACCTCCTTGTCGAGTCCCAGCACATGGTTTACGACCGCGAGAAAGGCGTTCCAGATAATGCTCTTAATCTTACACCAGAAGAACTTAAGCAGCGCCAGATTTTCTACCTTGATATCGTCAACTCCAAGCCAAAGCCAGAGAAGCCAGAGTGGGATATGCACAACTTCGAGTGCCCAGAGGCCAAGATCTCTAAGCTTTCAACACCAAAGAACACCTGCGACGAGACAAAGCCACCAGAGTGGACACTCACATACGAAGGCGATATGATTGTTGCCGTCAAGATTGTCAAGTTCAAATTCAAATGGTTCGGCATCCAGTCTGCTGTCGAATCCTTCGCTATGGGCAAATTCCACGATGTCTTCCTTGACTCCCACCGTGCTATGTTCTCTTGGGCTGCCCAGTGGTTCCCAATGGACATGCCAGCTATCCGTAAGCTCGAACAGGAAGTTCAGGATGAACAGGCTAAGCTCAAATTCGACAAGGATGAGGAATCCGAGTCAAAGAGCAAGAAGGATGACAAGAAGAAGGATGATAAGAAGGCTGAAGAAGCAAAGAAGGAGGAAGCTAAGCCAGAAGAGCCAAAGAAGGAATAAGCTCTTAGTTTTATATACCATTAGATTTTTACTCTCAGATTAAAAATTGAAATATTAATTTTTTATTATTTAACTAAACTCCATTTTAGTCATCATTTGATCAAGAACTTATGTACTGTATTGCTAATCTTATAAGGATATTATTATGATATTGAAATTTTAAGAATTATGATATATTTTATTTGATAGTTTTGTTAATTTGTGGAATACCTTTATGCTTTAAGTCTTAATTCTTCATCAGTAAGCGATCGATTGACAATTTTAATGCCAATAAGCAAATTCAGGATTTTAAGTCACCAATAGCATAGCATCATATATTATGTTTCAATTTAGTATTGCAGAAGCATTTTGACAAATATAATATGGAAATTGAAACAATTTACTTATAAAAACTCGTTTTTAAAAGGCTTCCCACCATCAGAATGCAAAATTATGTCCACAAAAGTCAGCCAAATCTAGCATTTTGACATTTCTATACAATAAATAAAAAGTGACATTAATATTCTCAAATGATATTGATGATTTAAATAGGAAAAGTATGTATCAGCTAACCCAATATTTCATGCTAAATTATTACATATAGTTGGTAAGATCGATTTTTATGCTTTTACAAGCATGGGCGCGAAGATAGAGTATAATTCATTGCATATGAATATTGATCAATATTTTGATATTAATTCATCGGAAAGCACAAATTTATTTTTGGTTTTTGAAGAAAATTAGCTAAAGAAAATGAGTTACATTTTTGAATCGTTCCAACAAAAATATAGAGACGAAGGACTAAGAGATATTTTTAATATTACCTCCTCTCCTCTTTATGAAGGAAGCGAAGTATGTGATGGATTGAGTATTCCTGGGACTCCATATGATTTGATTTCTAAAGATTCTACAAGTATGTGGCATTCAAAGGTAGATATGTATGGCTGGATGATATTTGAATATCCTTCGAAATTAATGACTATTTCTGGTTATAAAATCCTAACAGAAACTAAATGCTGCACTTTGAAGAATCATTATCTGAAAGGAAGTAATGACAGTATTAATTGGTTTGAAATAGCACATATCACTTCAAATACTCCAATAGATAATAGAGGAAAATGGGTAACCTATGAAGTCCCAAAATCTACTTTCCGTATGTATAAAATTGAGGAAGAACAAAGTGATTTAGGCAGTTATTGTAGTAATGAGAAATGGTTTGGTTTGCGAAGCGTTGACTTTTTTACAACAAATATTTCTGATATAACTTATAATCACAAAGGAGAGAAAATATCAATATATTGCTTCCAGCCTAGTATATTTCGTGCTTTATTAATAATTTTATCCCATTCTTTTACATATTACTAATATAAAATTAAATGGGATTCGATAAATTTAAGTAACATCATAGTAAGATATTAGGAAAAGCCTTCCTGCATATAGAATTGTAGTTGGTATACACTCATAGAATTCCTTAGTTTTGAATGTCTTTGTTAATTAAAAAAGTGAAAAATATGTTCTGAGTATTTTGCTACAGTGTTAAAAAAGTGACATTTTTAATATTTTGATGTTTTGATATGTATGATTACTTTACAAATATCGTGTAAAGCATGCACGAAAATTCAATATTGAATTATTATAGATATGTTATTTAGTTAGATTTATATATTTCTTTATCAAGATTTCGAGATTGTAGAACAAAATGCATTTTCCATGGAAGTATTCCAATAAATATAAATAATAGTAAATCTGTTCATATGAATAAGTCGCATATCTATTTTGGATAATTAATTGTTAAATAAAATATGAGTTATTTATTTGAGACATACCAAAAAATTATACTGATGCAGGACTAAGAAACGTTTTTAATATCACAGCTTCTCCTTTGTATGAATACAGAAATTTTTATGATGGATTGAATGTTCCAGGAAATCCATATGACTTAATTAATAAAAATCCTACAGGTATATGGCACTCAAAGAGATATGAATATGGCTGGTTGATATTTGAAATGCCATCTAAACAAATGACTATAACTGAGTATAGTATTATTTCAATTACATGCTGCACCTTGGGAAATCATTATCTGAAAGGAAGTAATGATGGTTTGAATTGGATTGAAATAACACACATTACTTCTAATACTCAAAAAGATAATCAAGGAAAATTGGTTAAGTACAAAGTTCCAGAATCTACTTTTCGAATGTATAAAATCGAAGAAGAACAAAGTGATTTAGGCAGTAATTGCGGAAGTGACAGGTATTTTGGTTTACGAAAAGTTGATTTTTTAACAACAAAAATATCAAATTATGAAATCAGAGATAATTTCAAAGGAGTGAAAGTTTCAGTTATATGCTTTCAGTCCAATTTTTTTCATTTCTTATTTATTACCTCTACACATTCTTTAACATAATATTAAATAATGTATCAATTGAGAATATACGATATGCAATATTATCTGATCATTTTTTGGGCCAATGATGGAAAGCAAATTGTTGGACTTTTGAACTCAACTGTGATTTAAGTTTGACTATGATCTCAATGAGGGATTATGGTTTTGCAATTCTGTTCATTAATATCTTAGTTCTTGTTTTCAATTGAGATTTAAGTTCGTCGATGATATCGTCTTTGTTCTTAAGTTTTTTCGGATGAATTCTCCCTAAGATGAAAATTATATCGAGTGGGATGTTCAAGTCTTTCACATCATTTAGTAGATTGTTAGTTGATGAATTTGAAATTTAATGAGCAATCCTTCTCATTGTCAAATTAAAACATCAATTAAAACAATCATCTCTTACTTCGCCACAAGATAACATTCTATCAATTTATGTGATTTATTTTTTCAGTTCGAGCTTCTGGACGATATTTATATATCTAAATCTCCATGTGTTGAGAAGTGTTTTGGACCGATGAAAAAGATTAATATACATTTTAATAGTTATATGAATTTTTGAGGTTGGCCCGGAAAAACGTCCAAAAAGTGTAATATTAGAAAAGTGACATTTTTAAATGTCAAGATATTTTGATGTACTTCATTTACTTCCAAGTTTCTGATATAATTTGGCTCACAATCCAATATCTAATTATTTTATATATATTAAAAATCAGATTTTTGTAATCTTTTTGTTGAAATTTCGAATATATATACCAAAAATTATTTTCTTGTATAATGGGAATGATAGAACATGAACATAATGCAATAAGTATGTATGATGGAATGCTCGTTGATATTGATAATTTACAAAGCTCTAACTTATTTTGGTTTTTAACGAAAATTAGTAAAAGAAAATGAGTTATATATTTGAGTCATATCAGCAAAAATACCGAGATGAAGAATTAAAAAACTTTTTTAACATCACATCTTCTCCTTTATATGATAAGGCTACTCAAACCTTTGATGGATTGACAATACCTGGAACTCCATATGATGTGATTTATAAAGATACTACTCGAATGTGGCATACAAAGAAAAATGAATATGGATGGCTTATAATTGAATACCCATCTAAACAAATGACAATAACAGGGTATAGAATCTTTGCTCATTCGACCTACTGCACATTGCGAAATCACTATTTGAAAGGAAGTAATAACGGGGTTAATTGGTCAGAAATAGTTTATATTAATTCGAACACTCCAGATGATAATAGAGGAAAATGGGTAAACTACGAAGTACCGGAATCTACTTTCCGTCTGTTTAAAATTGAAGAAGAACAAACTAGTAATGGAGTCACCAATGAATGTTCCAAATGGTTTGGTTTGCGAAAAGTTGATTTTTTAACTTTAAAAATATCAGATTTCGTGATAAAATGTAATATAAAAGATATGAAATTTTCTATTGTTTGCCCTCAGTCTCATTTTTTACATGTTTTATTTATTATTTCTACATATTCATTCTAATAATTAGATATTATAAATGATAAGCTTAGAAATCAATCTATCAATTTTACATATCATTTTTAATAATTGAAGTTAATGTCGCAATATGAAAAGCAGCTCCTCCTCTTTCCTTATTTGTGGTCATATCTTCCTCTTGTGAAAGAAAAGTCTTGGGATTAATCAACTAAATTTGAGTGATAATAAAAATATAATAAATATAAAAGTGTCGTTTTTTTATTTGTTGATTTATTGATGTATAAGATTCAATTTCAATTTTTAGGTATGGTTTGAATTATAAGCTAATGCTGATTCATTTTAAGTATATGACAAGCCATATTTTTGTGACTTTTTATAGATATTTCGAAATTTTCGAGCCTATAGTTTTGTCAAGCATAACTGGAAAGATGAGAAACAAAACCAATTCAATAAGTATGAATACTGATGAATTTATTGATATTCTACAAAATAAATGAAAATTTAACGAACTATAGCAAAATAAAATGAGTTATATTTTTGAGTCATACCAAAAGAATTACACTGATGTTGAACTAATAAAAATTTTTAATATCACGTCTTCTCCAATGGTGGAAGGGGGTAGCGATTGTGATGGATTAAGTTTTCCTGGAAATCCATATGACTTGATAATTAAAAATCCGAGGAGTATGTGGCATACAAAACTAAATATGTATGGCTGGCTGATATTTGAGTACCCTTCCAAATTAATGACTATTACTGGATATAGAATATGGGCACCAAATGGATGCTGTACATTACAGAATCATTATCTGAAAGGAAGCAATGATGGCGTTGATTGGAATCAAATTGCTTATGTTAATTCAAACACCCCAATTGAAAATAGAGGAAAATGGGCTACTTACAAAGTACCCGAATCTACTTACCGAATGTATAAAATCGAGGAAGAACAAAGTAGTTTTGGTAGTAATTGTGGTACATGGTTTGGCTTGCGAAAAGTTGATTTTTCACAAATCAAGTCAAAAAAGTGAAAGTTTCTATTGTTTGTTTTCAGTCCGATTTTTTTAATGCTTTATTTATTGTTACCACTTATTCGTTCACATTTTATAAGATATATTAAACCAAATCGCAAATTCTCTAATGTCAATGACTGAATGACCTAAGACAATTATTGATTTCAGATTCACGAAGTGAATTCTCGAGTTGTTGAAGTTTCTGTTTCAGTTGTTTGTTCTGTTCATTGATGTCTTTGTTCTTGTTTTCGGATGATGATAAAAGATCTTGAAGATTACTGTTTTCTTCTTGATAATTAGAGATTTGTGTCTCGAGTTCATCATTTGAAGATTTGTATTGATCAACTTGTGAACGTAAGTTATGATTTTCTGCTTCGATTTCTTTGTTTTGTTGAACTTGTGATTTCAACTGTGATTTAAGTCCATCATTGATGTCGTCTTTGTTCTTAAGTTCTTCTGATGCATTCTCGTTAAGAGAAAGTGATTTAGACTTTTCTTCATCAAGTATTATATTCAATTCTTTCAATTGTTCTTCTAAATCTCGCTTATCATCATTCAATTGTTCAATTGTAGAATTGAAAATATAGAAGAAGAAACTATAAGATATTAGTTTGAATCTTAATATATAGATATTTATTTAGATTTCAATGGTGAATTAGGAGGAGTTAATGAACTGTCTTTCTCCATGTTGTATTCAAACAATCGTTGGTTCTCGTTCTTTACGGCAACATAACTATCTGACAAGCGATGCGATTTGTTCTTCTCGCATTCGAGCCAGAAGCGCAAACGTGAATTCTCTAATGCTAGTGACTGATTAACTTTAGATAATTGTTGATTTGTCTGTTTCATTCTGATAACATCATTATTATTTTCGTTCTTGTCCTCAAGTTCTTTATGAAGTCGTTCAATTTGCAAAATAAGTTCTCTGATCTTAATCTCATATTCTTCTTGGCTCTTGCTTCCTTCAGAAATATAAACATTTGGTTTAGTCTCGTACTGACTCTTAGAATTCATTGTGTCAATAGTACTTGACAAGTCGAAGTTCTCTTTACGAAGTTTGTCATGTGCACCTGACAACCAAACACATCGTTGCTCAAGTGTGCAGAGTTTCAATTCGTTCTGATTGTTCTGGATACTCAACTGTGCATTCGTTGATTCAAGGTGACGCATACGTTGTCGAATCTCATCATTATTCTTCTTCAAGTGTTCGTTTTCTATTGTTAATGTTCTCATTTGATATTTCAAATCTTCAATATCGACAGAAGGAATTTGGTTCTTAGAAAGCTCTGAGATTTGTGATTTAAGACGTTGGTTTTCGCGTTCTAAGAATGATCGTTGATTTTCTATTTGTTTGTTTTGTGATTTTTGTACATTAAGATTGTTATTCAATTCTTTGAGTTTCTTAATCAAATTATCTTTTTCTGAACTGTATTTAGCATTATCTTGCATTGCATCTTGTAATTGTTGTGACAATTTTGTGATTTCGTCACAATTGCTTTTAACAAGATTATTATATTTGTTTTCAGATTCTCGAAGTGAATTCTCGAGTTGTTGAAGTTTCTGTTTCAGTTGTTTGTTCTGTTCATTGATGTCTTTGTTCTTGTTTTCGGATGATGATAAAAGATCTTGAAGATTACTGTTTTCTTCTTGATAATTAGAGATTTGTGTCTCGAGTTCATCATTTGAAGATTTGTATTGATCAACTTGTGAACGTAAGTTATGATTTTCTGCTTCGATTTCTTTGTTTTGTTGAACTTGTGATTTCAACTGTGATTTAAGTCCATCATTGATGTCGTCTTTGTTCTTAAGTTCTTCTGATGCATTCTCGTTAAGAGAAAATGATTTCGATTTTTCTTCATCAAGTGTTATATTCAATTCTTTCAATTGTTCTTCTAAATCTCGCTTATCGTCATTCAATTGATCAATTGTAGAATTATGTTCATCATTTTCTGCTTTCAGTTTAGAAATTTCTTCTTTCAGTGCTTGGTTTTCTTTTTTGAGTTTCAAATATTGTTGTTTGATCTTTTCGATATAATCAGCAGCTTCCCGAAGATCATTGTTTAATTTCGATATTTCTTCATTTTGTGTTTCATTCTCTTGTTTTAAGTTTGAAACTTGTTTTTCTAAATCTGCAACTTTCTCTTTAAGAAGAGCATTTTCTTTTCCGAAATCTCCCAAACTAAGAAGAGAACTGTTATTTTTATCTTTTTCTTCACTCAAAGATCTCTGTAAGTCTTCAATAACCTTTAACAATTTCTCATTCTGATTTGCAAGATCGAGTTTCTCTGATTCCGTCTCAGACAATTTGTTTGTCAATGAATCTTTTTCATTGTTCAAATTAGAAAGTTGTGAATTCAAATCATCGATGAGTTTATCTTTTCTTTCATTGTCATCAACGAGATTTGATAATTTCTTGGACAATTCATCATTCTTTCCTTGCATGTCGTTCATTTGACTCTCTAAGTCTTGAATGACATTGTTCAAATTGTCTAAATCACTTGAAACTTTTTGGATTTCACTTTCTTTTTGTTTCAAATCGTTCTGGAGCTGGTTGATTTGGTTAACAAGATCTCTGTTTTCTTGTTGTAACTTACTGAGTTTATCAGATAACTCTGCATTTGAACTTGAGTTATTTTGTCTCTCATTTTCAAGATCTGATTCTAAATTAGCCTTTTCTTCTTGTACTTGCTGCAATTTGGACTTAAGAGCTGCAAGTTCTTCTTCAAGAGACTTTGATTTATCTTTCTCTTTCTCTAAATCGGAATTTGAAATATCCAATTTGTTTTGTGTCTCTTTTTGGTTGGATTCTGCCTTGGCTAAGGCATCTTTAAGCTGTTGGATCTGATTCTGAAGGTCACTCTTTGTTTTGGCTGCTTCTTGGCGTTCATCATTAAATTTAGCAACCAAATCATTGTACTTTTGGACAATATCGGATTTTCCATCACGTAATGAAGCTAAGTCATTCATTAATTGCTGGATTTGCTGTTTCTGAGCTTGGTTCTGTTGAGATAATTCATTATTTGTTTGTCTCTCTTTGTTGAACTTCTCAACAAGGTCGTTATACTTTCCAACCAACTCAGATTTGCTTGCTTGCAAGTCTTCATATTGTTTCTTGACGTTATCTAATCTTTGATTCAAATTATCGTTGTTCTGTTGGAGATTTGCCTTCTCATTCTCCAATTTCTTGATGTTTTGATTCTTTTCCCTGTTCTGTTTCGTTAATTCGTTGATCTTGTCCATCAATTTCTGAGATTCTTCATTAAAGTTGGAAGAATTCAACAATGATGAGTTCTTTTCATCTTCAAGTGCTTCTTCTAGTTCTTTAACCTTCTTTTCAAGGTCGGATTTGTCCTTTTCAAGTGAATCTTTTTGGGATTTCAGATCATTAACATCGGAATTCAATGAATCGATCTGCATCTGGAGAGAAAGATTGTTTTGGTTCAATTCATCGACGGTTTGGCTATGTTCTCCCTGCAAATTGTCAAGTTGGAGGTCTCTTGTCTTCACATTCTCCATCAAACCTTCATTTTCAGCGGTCATTTCATCTATCTTGCCCTCAAGATCTGTTACTTTGTCTTCAAGATCTTGATTCGACTTCTTCAAATTATTAATATCGTCATTTTGTTTCTTATTTGCTTCTTGGAGTTGCTGGTTATCATTCTTCAAGTTATTGAGCTCACTGTCCTTGTTGGCAACTGTATTATTGAGATCTTCCTTCTGTTTCTCCAAATCATTATTTTGGTTTTGTAAATCTTCGTTTTGTTTCTTGAGATCTTTGATTTCATCATCTTTTGTAGTGATTGTATTGGTGAGATCTTCTTTGACTTTCTGAAGATTTTGTTTTTCATTTTGTAAATCTTCGTTTTGCTTCTTGAGTTCTTCGATCTCATTATTCTTATCATTAACAGTGTTTGAGAGGTTTTCTGTTTCTTTCTGGAGATTTGATTTTTCATTTTGCAATTCTTGGTTAAGTTTCTTCAAATTAGCAAGCTCATCGTTGTTATTGCTAACAGTATTGTTATAATCTGCGTTTTGTTTCTCCAAATCTGACTTTTGATTTTGAAGATCTTGGATCTGTTTGTTCAGATTATTGATCTCATTAGTTGTAGAGTTACTGAGATCTTCGTTTTGCTTCTTCAAATTGCTAATTTCGTTATTTTGATTATTAACGGTTTGTGTGAGGTCTTCCTTCTCCTTTTGGTATTTCTCGTCATTTTCTTGCTGGGACTTCTTCAATTCTTCGACTTCTTGTTCTAATTTCTCCCTTTGAATTTCAAGATTTGACTTGTCATCTTGAAGTACTTTGATTTGCTTCTCTAAGTTAGAATTATCATCTTGAAGCTGTTTTACTGCAGACTGGAGGTTTCCTTTGTCGCTGGCGTTTAATTCTGCCAAAGATTTCTGATTTTGTAATTCATTTTGTAAGTTTTCGCTATCTTTCTTAAGTTTATCAGTTTCTTCTTGATATTTCTTCATTAATTCTTCAGAATCTTCTTTGGATTTTGCCAATTCGTCTTCGTACTGTTTAATGATCTTAGATTTGTTATCAATCTCGTTATTAAGCTGGTTGATTGCCTCTATTTTCTCTGCAATCGTCTGATCAGCCTGTGATAACTTCGTTCCAAGGTCATTGCATTGAGAAGTCTTATCATCAAGCTGCTGCTTGATGAAGTTACACTGATTTCGTGATTCATTGAGTGAATTCTCGGATGAATCGAGTTTTGCTTGTAATGCGTTTTTCTCGGCATCGTTAAGCTGGCATTTCTGGGTAAGTTGATTTATTTTGGCTGCCAAATCATCTCTCTCCGCTTGTAAGGCTTTAAATTGGTTATCTTTGTCCTTTATTATGGAATTATAACCGTCACGCTCTGTATTTAACAATGCAAGTTGGTCTTCGAGTTCCTTGATTCTTGCCTTTAGATTAGCGTTCTCTTTCTTTAAAGATTCGAATTGTTTCATCCATTCTCCAAATTTTGAGGCCGAAATACCGTAAGTTTTTTCTAATTCTCCTAATTTCTTCTTTAACATGTTGTTCTCATCTGTTAATGCTTTATTTTGGCGAGCAAACATTTTACTTTCGTTCGAAAGATTGGTATTTTTGTTTTCCAAGAAGGAATACTTGTTCTTTAAATCATCTAACTCCTTTCTAACTGCTACCATGGGGGTATTTCCTTTTTCATATTCAACGACTTGAGATTTAAGTTTCAGATTTTCGTTATTCAGAGTTTCATTGGCTGTAGTCAGTTTATTCACTTTCTGCTGTAGCTCCTGCACCTTTGGATCTGAAGCAGACATTGCCGGTTTAATGTAATAAAATTTTATACATTTTTATCGGCGGGCGATTTTCAATGAATTGTTATATCATGAATAATTTTGATTGCAATATATGTAATAGGACTTTTAAGTACTTGTTTTGTTGCATGCTAAGATCAGTCATAATGTAAACCTCTCAATTTTATTGTCGTGGGAAGTATCTCAATTCCTTCAAAAAATTGAAAAATTATTTAATTTTAAAAATATAATACTTTTAATTAGTTAATTAATTGGAGATATTTTTAAAAAATCACTTTTGATAATACTTTTGAGAACTTTAATTAAAAAAATATATTCAAAAATATCCAGGATATCAAGAGGGAATTGTTCCTTATGAGGTATAGTTATGATGTATACTCATAAGGAACAATTCCCTCCTTAAAATGAGAAACTTGTTCGAAATTGTTTATCATTTCGAACAAGTTTTCTCGTTTTTAATAGGAAACTAAAGGCTATGAGGCACTGATTATATATTAGTGCCTCATAGCCTTTAGTTCCTAATAGATAGCTGGGGAACTTTCTCCAAATGATAAGTTATTCAGAGAAAGTTTCCCAGCTATCAAGAGGGAATTGTTCCTTATGAGGTATATAGTTATGATGTATACCTCATAAGGAACAATTCCCTCCTTAAAATCGTATAAATTTTTATACTTATTAATCAACCATTCAAAATCATATTCCTCTGAAAAGTTATTTTATTAAAAATTTAGAATTTTAATAAATATAGAGTTTGAATTTCATACAATACCTATATTTTCAATAATGGAATTTGAAAACCATTCTCAAAAGTTCTCAGAAAACCTTTTTTTTCATTAATTTTAAGAAATCTGAGTATTAAATTAAGCGATAAATTCGTTTGACACTACTTTAATTTTTAAATTCAAAAAATTATATGTGCTTCTTAAAATGACTCAAAAAAATTTTATTATAAAATAATATATAATATTAAAAATCCCACAACATTTTTTACTTTACATAATCGTACTTCCTCGACGATTAATTTACACTCAATTTCTATCGTTGACCGAACTTAGCATGCAACAGTTTTAATTTTACAATTTTCAATGTTAATTGTGTGATTATTTTATTTTTTATATAGAATTTTTAAGAAGTTTACACTACATAAAAATCAAATTTGAATATTAAACTGTGAGGATTTTATATTATAATTTAAATACTAAAAACTATAAGGCAGATTTTATCGACAAGTTCATTCTTTTGAAAGCATTCAAAATTTAAATCACTTTTGAATTAAAAGTGATTTATATTCCGACAAAGGAGAAATTATATTCGTTACAACATTTTAAATAACATTTATGTTCAGTTATTTAAAAATTGAGTTTAGCAACCATCATAGCAAATAGCAATGACCTGTACTAGTACAGCTCATATATAAAATTTAATTATCGAAATTTTCATATTTCTAAAAAAAATTCAAAATATCTTCATTGGATCATTATCAATTACTATCGAATGTTAAATTAGTATTAGTGTTTCATTCAATGACATTATCCAATCTCCGACCGGCTAATCAAATTTGTAAAATTTCTCGAATTAATACTTTAATGAAGATTTAATGCCATGTGGATAATACTCTAAATTACCTTAGTTATGTTGCATGCTTTTTATAAGCTGACAAAGCTCAGTCGACAATCTTATCATCAATGAGTATTCTTTTCAATTTTTTATCTTAAATTTTGCCATTTTATGCGATTTCTTACTTTACAAAAATTACATGTCAAAATAAGAATCCTTTTCAATAATTATAAATTTCCGACCGAAAGCTTGCATAGCATTATTCATTAAAACAATTTTTGCATCTCCGTTAAGGATGTCAATTCGGAAAATTGTTTTCGTTTTAGGAGAATATAATTTTCCATTTGGAAAATTTAAAAAGTGAGACGCGCAGGATTCGAACTTTTTTAAAAGTTGATTTAAATATATTCTAATGTGGAATCTAAGGATAATATCATATTTAAAATAAGAATATACGAGTTTAGGTAGTATTATTTTTTTCGATAAATTTGAGAGCATGTACGTTTAGGACATCAAAAGTGTCAATTCGCTCAGGGAAAGCTGAGCTAGCTTCGTTCTCGAAAAAATAGGGAAGAAGTGAAGGAGAGTGATACAGATGTTGACACATTCATATAATTTCAACAAATTTGATCAAATTGAAATTCAATGAAATTCAATTCACTTCATATCCTTCAGTCAGTACATTGACATCCTTCTACATCACAATGATAACTCGGGAATCAATAGTTCTACAACTAACTCAGAAAAAAAAACAAGATTTTTACTTCCAGCTTGCAGCTTTTAAAAAGTTTCGATGATAAAATCACTCTACTCTTGTTTATAGATATGTGATGATTAGGTAAACATATTCTTATCGATTTTAATAAAAATATTTTACGAAAATCTGAACCAATTACAGAGTTATTCATAAAGTTTATGATAACTGTAATTATTTCATCTTTGTTTATATTTGAATAAACAATTTAATTTAAATTGCATAATATTTTTTGGTTGAAAGACAGGAAACTTAGTTGAGTTTGTATTATTTTTATCGTTTAATTCATCGTATCAGTGAGTGATCCAGATATTTAAGATATTTAGAAAAAATTATTAATTTGATTAACAAATTTTAATCAAAATAGCAAAAATCTATTTGATAGCTGTAAACAAACAATAATTTTTATTTCAAGCAAAATCACTTATTTTCATCTAAACGTATAAAATTGTCAATTTTATAAAATAAATTGAAATCTCAAGAAATGTAAAGGAGAGTAATATTTTTCAATTTTCTTTTTTTCTTTGTCTCAAATATTTTCTGTTGGGAATTTTCTTGTTATCAAAAATAATTTTAATATTTGTTTATTTTATTACATTACAATAAAATTTTAAAAACTCTATTTCTTCTCAAGAAAATTTTTTTCCTTCATATGAAGAAACATTTTGTTCTCCATTTGATACCGAGTCTAAATCTCGATTTTTGAATTTTCTTCTTTCCAAATTTCTTTTTTCCAAATTAGAAGTTTAATTCAAATTTTCAATAGTTTATATATTTTCTCAAACCGTCTCAGATTTTCTCACTTTTTAGGGATTTTCTCTCAAAATATACAAAAATAGTAATATCAATACATGTGTCTAATATACTTTAAAACCATCGTGACAAAATTCAAAAATGAAGAGTTCTTCTCTCCAATTTTTTTTCAAAATCAAAAAAATGAGATAAAAAAGTCTGTTTGGAAAATTCATTTTTAGCATTTTAGGAATTTTCTCACTTTTCTTCCAAATTGACATCCTTATCTCCGTCCATTTCTTAACAACCAATTATGAATTCGAAATGTATGGTTTTTCCGTGATAAATGAAATTAATTTGATTTACATCACGGAATTAGAATATAAAATGCACGCGAATTATATCACATTTCTTGTAGATGTGTGCGAAATTTGATGAGTGTTCGAAGATATATAAGCTTTGCAACGAAAAAAATTCATATCACATATCATACCCTTAAAGTTTGAAGAAAGAAGCTGAACATAACAATGAAAGCTTTGCTAGTATGTTTAATTTATATCGGAGAAATGTAAAGCAATTCAGTGGATCATCATGGCTTTTAATTTTCCATCATGATTCAATTGGAGATCATTACTTTACGAAAGAAAACTGTAAATATAATATTGAACCACAACTATATAGTATTATTGATGACGAAGATCTGTATTCTCTAAGTTATAAAAAGTCTGGCTTTTATTATTTTTTATTAGAATATCCTGAGATCAATAGCTATCAAATATTCATGCAAAAAGAATATATAACATCAACATCCGATAGTGTTGGATACAAAAAAGTATTAGGGGATAGCTGGGATACATTTAAGGGACTAGCAAAATCCTACCATTATGATAATACATTAATAGATGGATCTCCAGGACATACCGAAAATGGATGGTTTAATGTAGGGCTGTACAAAATCGAGAAAAACATTGCCGTGCGGTAATATAGGGTCAAAAAAATCGCGTCTCGGCGGCTCCGCCGCCTCGGCACTATTAAGTGCGCATTATATTTAATATGTCCTTCTTTTTTTTTCTTTTTTTTTCTTCTTCTTTTCCTTTCCTTCTTCCTCTCCTTCCTCTTCTTTCCTTCTCCTTCTCTTTTTACAACAACATCGAAGATCTTCGAATTTGATTGTTGGAAAAGCATCTATTTCAGATAAAGGATGCCTTTCTCACAGTCAACATACGAGGGTCCTGGCTGAAACGTTCTCAAAAAGCCCGAGATGGTAATTCTCTGATCACTCATAGCTGGGCAGGTAGTCATTGCTGACAATACCTGTCTTTATGCATGCACGCTTTCATGTATATGGGTTTACACTATCAATTCGCAAAGTTGTTCCGAATTCTTCCAAAATGGAAGGACCCGAAACAACTTTGCTTGTTAACGATACAGACGCATTACTTTGCATTGATACTGTGCTGAGTTGTGTAGAAAGTTTGATTAGAGTTGTTTTGTTCTGGTATCTCTCATCTTCTGATGAGAGAAATCAAAGCAAAACAACTCTAATGAATTTGTTTTCACTCATTTGTATGTAGGTTTTTAGTTCGATTGGAGCTGCTTCATAATGAGATCTCTCATCAATTGATGAGGGAGATCATAACAAAGCAGCTCTAATGTATATGCTCGTATTAACCGTGTTGTAATGCGTTGTAACGTCAGCTTGTAGTTCGTTTGGGGCCACTTCACATTGAGATGAGAAGAAATGATTAAATGACTCTGAAAGGCTTTGGCCGTTGATGTTGTAATCGCATTACTTGGAACTAGCTGGATGCTAAGCTGTGTAGAATTTCGATTAGAGCTGTTTTGATATGATTTTCTCATCATAAGATTGGAGGAATCATAGCAAAACAACTCTAATGGGTTTACCATCATCTACTTGTATGTAGATGTTTGGGAAATTGTCTTGTTAATCGATTTTCGA